TTTGTATTGGTATTATGTTTTACAGATTAAAGATGAAAATGCAGCAGATAGGGTTCGGGTGATTCTGGCAGTCAGGCTGGTAAGGCTCAACATCAGCTCAGGGGCCCGTGTCCCCTCTACACGCAGCCCAGACAGCGAATAGGACTTCTCCCAGGAAACACTGCCTAGTCGAACCCACCAAGAACTTTCCGGAGAATATGTAGACTCCCCAACACTGCAGCCTTCTGCATTACCCAGAGTGTCAGAAGGGCTGTGCTCCCGGTGGAGAACCCGGGCACTCTCCTGATCTGCGCCAAGAGATCAGGAGGTACCAAACCAAAGGCACCGAGAACAATGGGGAGCCTGTCAACAGTGTACTTGGGATGCAAGCGAGACATTTCAAAGGCGAGGTCCGCATATTTATCATGCTTTTCCTGAATCTTGCCAATCACATTGCTGTCAAAAGGAACAGAAAATTCAATGATATAAATAAATTCATTGGCTTTATCAAAAAGGACAAGATCAGGTTTGTTGGCAGGAATTCTTCTGAGGCTGGGCCTAGTCCAGAGAAGTTTGAAAGCATCATTTTCCATGACGCCCTGGACATGTTCTGGTTCGTACCATGGATGGACCTCAGAGTCAAAGCCACGGGCATGGCGAAGACGGTAATAAAAGCAACAAGCCATGCCATCATGTCTCTTAAGATATGTTGTTCGTGCCAAGGAAGGGCATCCAAGGTGTTGGACAGCCTCTGTAAATTCATTACACAGTCGGCATTTCATGTTAATATTTTCTTTAAGAATCACATTTTGGCGATTACGAGTGGGAAGTGACTGGTCCTGAGCGGCAAAAAGGAAGCCCTCAGTTTCACATTTAAGACCAGCCGACTTCATCCAGGCGAAGGAGTCGGGGGGGTTGCTCTTCTGTTCCACACACTGCATGTAAACACGATGCAATGGTTTCTCAGAAAGCTTCTCCACAAATGACCGACCCTGGGCAGACTTGGTGAAGGACTTCACCTGGTTTACTCCCATCGCTGTACCGTCCAGAAGTACATCGCCATCAACAAAATCAACCTCAAATTTCAGATCTGTCCAACAAACTTAGCACGCTTAAAATAGCTGTTGAGTTTCTTTCTTTCATCATGAGTCTTCACATGCATCACCAGAGGATCATCCGATAAATTAATATGTGCAAAAGTACACAATAAAATTCTATCCTGAAGAGCCTCCACATTAATCAAACCCCGACTTCCAGAACTGATTGGCATATATAAACGGTTAAGAGAGGATCGAGGGTGGTGGGCTCTGTTATCAGACATGAACCTTCTGGTCAGGCGGTCAAGACTCTAGATGTCTTGTTTTGTCCAGTCAACTACTCCAAAGGAATAGGAGAGGACTGGCACAGCAAAAGTATTGGTGGCTTTGACCTTGTTTCGAGCATTTAGCTCTGAGCTCCAGATTTTCTTTAAGCGATATTTTGTACTCGGCCCGAAGTTTGTCCTGAATTTGGGCATTCTAACTTGCATTACAAGATAGATGTAGGCCTGATCTTCCACAAGATGCTCAATAACTCCTCCTCCTCCACCCCCACCCCACCCCCACACCCGTAACTTGACCGATCCACCATTAACTACTTTTCCACGTTTCAAATGAAGAGTATTACATTTGTCGAGCCCAAATGTCATGCCTGTATCATTAGAAAAGGACTCGACAAGGAGAACCTGTTATTTCAAATTGGTATCTCCTTTGGCAAGGAGCTCGATGTCATCCATGTAAAGGGGGCGGTGGGGTAGCCTAGTGGTTAAAGCGTGGCTCGTCACGCTGAAGACCCGGGTTCGAATCCCCACATGTGTACATGTGTACAATGTGTGAAGCCCATTTCTGGTGTCCCCCGCCGTGTTGTTGCTGGAATATTGCTAAAAGCGGCGTAAAACCAAACTCAGTCAGTCAGTCAGTCCATGCAAAGGAGATGAGTAAGCGGTGTTAGGGATTTGTGCAGAGGAGGTCCGGGATGGTAACCCTCCTCTCTGTTATGTATGTCTGACGAGGCCTAATAGTCTGTCTCAGCGTCCCTGAACCGTTGAGTAAACCATATTATTTTCCCTACAGACTAGCTCTCCCTGAAATGCTAAAGCCCTAAATGAAGCAAGTCTAGATTTCCGCAGGTTCCCTGGTCTTCCTGGGACTCCTTTTCACTTTAAAATGGGTTTATTTGTTACAATTAAAATTATATATATTCAGAGACTAAGCGGTAGTCTGGACGAGGTCGTTTGTGATTTGATACAGATATTGTTTAATGGCCTGGCATTGTGAAACAGCTTCCGTTATCCTAGTGGGCATTAAAAATACTTACGACTTACTACTACATCTGGGGGTGTGTGGGGTTGCCAAATGGTTAAAGCGTTCCCTCATCACACCAAAGACCCGGGTTCGATTCCCCACATGGGCACAATGTGTGAAGCCCATTTCTGGTGTCCCCCACCGTGATATAGCTGGAATATTGTAAAAAGCGGCGTAAAACTGAACTCACTCACTCACTCTTATTCTTTTTCCTTACAGCATCCCGGACGACCATTTCGTCAGCGGGTGAAACAGATTATTTGTTTGACGAAAACCGTCAAATTCCTCATATTTACCTATACTGGATATTTCCCCATCTCTGAATTTGTCTGGATTTTCACCAGAAGTTACCTATAGTAAGACGTAATGAATCCACATTACATTTGGTTGTTAGGTAAAATGTCCTGGTTTTCGACCTTTTCCACTGTCCTATAGAGAGATTCAACACGTAGAAATTCAGATTTCACAGTGTATGATCTCATACAGTGCAAACCGAGTATAGAGCGCTGTACGTTCGTGCTTTGGTTGATAGATATTTTGTCACGGGCTCCTTTTTCTGTTTTTTTTTAGTATAGTTCAAGAACTAAAATGAGCGAAATACTTCTTCTTACTCATATAAACAACAATTCACTCCCAATTTGAATAATGACCCTCTAAATTCTGTCAAACATCAAAACCGCATCGCCGATTTCGCTCCTTCGCAGAAAACATCTAAACTAAAGCCACACTATTCCTTCATTTCACATTTTCTTGGTAAAACCTGACAACATATGAAATATTTGATAAATAAGCTTTCAAATGCTGTATAATATTCCTAACAAAGAGTATTCGTTTTTTAACACGAGAGTTAACCTCCTATACATCTTCACTGCGCCATCAAGTGTCAGCGACATTAGAATCTATGTCGAAACGTCGCCTATACAGAATAAAGAAGTTGTATATCCACATTCTCCATCTCCTCAACGTCTAGAGTGTCAGTCAAAGCAGCCTCCTAAAGTGGCAAAGTAAACACCAAAACTCAATTTCTAAACTTACAAATCTACTGAAAAAAAACACACTCAAAAGACTAAACAACAGTTACTATGTATACCATAAATATAAAAATAATGACAGGGCGGTAACCATTTTACATCAGGTCACACGAAATTTTAATTCCCATTTACATAAAAAGAAAAACAGTACAAAAAACACCAAACAGATAAGGGACCGTTCATAATTTATGGCTAGGGGGGTGATGATGATTTTAAGGGGCGGGGTTCACCCATTTTGTTCTTGGGAGACAGGGAGGGCAGCAATTTCGTACATAAAAATATGTTTAAAATTATGCTTAGAAATTATGGGAAGGGGAGGGTTGGGTCATTGGTCTTGTACATGACATGCAGGGGGTGGGAAACTGGTACTTATTTTGTACATAAATTTTAGGAGGGGGTCATTCACATTGTACATGCTTCTCCATAAAAGTCATCATCAACCCCCACCCACCCCCACCCTAGCCATAAATTAAACTTATGAACTGTCCCTAAGACAAACGCCTGAACACGTCCTGCTACACTGCATAAACTACCAACAACGCAGAATGGTGCTCCAGAGTTCACTGGACACGAACACACACCTAACACTACAAACACTCCTTAGCCCACTAAATAACATATCGAAATCTTCAAAGCCTTGGGTATATTTGTTATCAAAACTGGCCTTCTAGGTCGCTTTTAATCCCACATAGCCAACTAGTGCCAACATTAAAATATTTACAAAGACAAACAAAACAAATACCAACCAAACCATCCCGTAGTTCATCCGCCCTACATCTTCTGGCAAATTTTCAAATTCAAAATTCATACAAATTTTATTATGCACCCTAAACGCCCCCTTCAGGTTGCCACATATTTCGGTTAAATCAGCCCTCTTTCAATCGAACACTAAATGGCCTGGTGGGCCCGTGAGTGAAATACGCTTTATGTCGGAAAGCGCACGTTAAATCTCCCAATCATGATCAACAACCTTATTCTCGGTATAGGCTCCTGGTTAGAGCGTCCGCCCGGAGAGCGGAAGGTCGCGGGTTCGATCCCCGACTGCGTCATACCAAAAAGACGTTAAAATATGGTATTTGTTGGTCCCTACCTGGCGCTCGGCACTAATGGGTACAACAAGGGCTGGTCGACTCGGAGTCAGTATACTGTGTCTGGGGTATTCTGGGGAGTGGGGTATTCATGCTTCACTGCGGCATATGGTATCTCAGTGAGCTAGCACTATAAAACCAGCTTAAGTCTGGGCTAGTACAAGCAGCCGCACATACACATACACACGCATGCACGTCGTCATATGAGCGAAATATTCTCAAGCACGACGTAAAACCCAGTTTCACCTCGCCTCACCTCACCTATATAGGCTCCAGACCAGTGCCCCTTTAAATGGACTGCATTATGCCTTATCTTTTCACGTACTTATAAATACCTATCACAAGGTATTAATAGCACTGTGCTCTATTTATAGACCGAATCCTCAACAGTTTTATGTCCCATTGACGTCAGTTAAAATGATGCAAGATAAACTTCGTCAGTCTATTTCACAACTTCTGTCCGATAACACACGCCCTTGACGGTCAGCTCATCCAGACAAATGCAATATGACGTCAGACAGGGAGATCTAAGGGCAGGTAACTCTAACGTGATAAAAACGGAAGCAGGAAATAGTATTATCGTAGTGTTTTGCAAGCGTCTGCTGTGCACAAATAGCGTCCGTTGTAATGAAACAAGTGACGTAGACAGTATATAATAGCTGAAGTCACTAAAATCACGAGTTACTCTGACGGACTTAGCGGGCTGACACATAAAGTAAGCTTTCTACACTGTGAGTGTTGAATTTAGAAAATTTAGACTATCTGAACCATCATTCTTTGAATATGTCATGACCTGTCCGAATCATAGTGCAAATGATTTTTAAATTTGGTTCAGTCTGACCACTTCGTCCTCGTCTACGAGTTTGTTTGTATACAATGTTATTTCAAGGCCCTGTGATCTGACTCATCATTTCAAATATCAGGCAATGGAAAGTATGGGTTATAATTTTGTTGGTATTTTGTCAGATATTGTTCATGTTTTTTACAAACGACAGTGACACTTATAGGCTGTTGAATTACTTTGCTTGTAGATAATGATGTCCTCTCATTGTTTATAATCACCAAGTTAATAATGATAATAATGTCTATTTCTTTAGGCGCCGTGTCCACCCACTAGTGCTTATGGCGCATTAAATCTATGTGCATGGAATGTACAAATCATTCCTTAGCCACTGTGGAAAGGTCTGTCTTCAGATTGTTCTTAAAATCATCAAGAGAGTGATAGAGTTTATTTCCTAGAAATTCCCTAGAATTAGAAAATGGTGCAGTTGGGTAGGGGTGGGGCTGCTGAGTAGTTGTCAGCTACAGGTACCAGATGCAGGATTCGGACATGTCCTGACCCCCTTGGTATGGCAGATGTCAACTAGTTCGTAAACTGGTTTATTTCAAGTTGGCTGACAACCTGTCATTTGTAAAGCAAGAATGTCAGAATTCAGATGTCCATGATTTATATAAACAGGGATGAGAATTGTCTGCGGATCCGCGGAATTCAGGGAATTTCATAAGGCCAAGGGTCATTTTGTGAATCGTCTAAATCCGATAGATGCTAAACCCCCGGCTAGTTTTCAGAGTTTTTCTCAAAACTTCATTCTCATCCCTGTATAAACAATCTTATTGCAGGCCATTTTTCATTTCAGCAGACAGTTATATTATACCATTAAAAAAAAAGTAGGGGATATTGGATTTACAAGATTGATAAAATGCAAGTGATAAAGCCAAGTAGGAAACAGATGATGAAGAGACATTAAGAGAAAATGTGACACTTTGTTCTATTTTTTTGGAAATGTTTCATCTGTATGGATATATATTACTTTTTGTCATATGCATTGTCAGTGGCTAGAGGTATGCTTGCAAAATGGAGTATCACCTACGTTTTTGAATGGTATGTTTCATTAACTTTTGATCATATGTTCATTCAAGCATGTCGGATGGAAACCCCAAATTCTGCCAGTTCTGTAATGGACTCTGTTACCACAGCAACCAGAACAGGGAACAGTCTTCCCAGATGTGTGATATATGTAATATAGGCTCTACATTTATGTGATATGGTAGATGTTATGTCTGTATTTATGTGCTAATTATTAAACAAAATAAAAAATGATTTCCAAACTTTTGAAATCCTCTTTTAAATTATGGTGTTGTTTGGTCGTGTGGTTGTCATTGTGTTATTTGTCACCATGGTTACAGTATTTTGATTTTCTTTGTAGGTTTAAGAATGTCACAACCACAAATGTACCCAAATGCACCCCGTCCCCCAACCACAGCAGATCAGTGTGTGTCCAAAGTGGAACTGCGGATTGAGTGTCGTAATCTACTGGACAAGGATGTAATGTCGAAATCAGATCCATGTGCGGTACTCTACATGAGCCGACGAGGAGGCCATTGGGATGAGGTAACAAAAGAATTTCTTGGTCCCAAATTCCAATCAAGGGATAGGGCTGAGGGTTTAGGGTTAGGGTTAGGGACCTAATCCAATGTAGTAGGTACATGTCCGGTGGTTCGGTCAATGCATTCTATTTATTAGGATTATTTCAAGGGATTAGGGTTAGGGTTAGGGTTTAGGGTTAGGGTTAGGGACCTAATCCAATGTAGTAGGTACATGTCTTGTGTAATACGTGAGTACCATTTGTTGTTTTTCCTTTTGCAATGTAATACTTTTTTTCACACAAAAACGGGAAACCAAAAACGTCTTAACTCTGTCTCATCAGCTTTTCTGTCTTATTCATTTACATAGGGATAATCTACACCAGGGATGGAAAGAAGAAGAAATATAGTTTATAAACGTGTCACATGCTGCAATTCATTAAAAAAGACATTATATTATTACCAGGATTTAAAAACAGCATCCGGCCGTATGGCCTGTGAGACACAGATATCACAGTTGTATAATAACATTGGTAATAAAAACACACCCACACATAAACACATGCAAGCTCAAACATGTGCACAAACACATGCACGCATGCACGCACACACACACATTCACCTTCTTACGCTAAAAAGCATAAATTATGTAAATAGCAAACATGTTGAGTGAATGCTGACCTTATTAACAAAATAGATTAGACTATTCAACGGAAATATTTCGGCGCCTAAACATAGTATGGAGGAGTGCGGCAAGGGGCTTTACGAACTGGTTATTTGTAAGTAAAAGTACCATTTTGTCTACTGCTGACATAGATGGGAATAGAGGATGGACACTGGTTATTTCTTTCCAAAGGTTATATCTGAGATCTGAATAATAATCACAGTTAACCAGAAAATGTAATTCATCTTCAACAGCTTTAGGTCACTTGTCTTGCTTTCTCTACCATTTGTACTAATTAGTGTGTGCCTCATCTTCTGTTCTCCCTGATTTAAGGGGTTCACACGATGCTTGAAAGTCCTTGAATACTTGCGTGGTGCTTGAAAGTGCTTGAGTTTTTGAAAATAACAAAAAGTACTTGAAAAGTACTGTAAAATTATGAAAAAGTACTTACATAGTTAGAAAATATACTTGATATATTAAAACAAGAGAATAGACCACTGAAAATGTCATAAATAATGCTATTTTGCTATAAGTTTTACTTGTTTGTTGACCGTAATCACAAGTAAACTGGAAGGTTACTGCATTCAGATTATTTTGGCAATCTCAGTATCTTTCCGTAGCTTGATACAAATTGTTCCAAATAACAATTTTGTGTCACGGAAACATCTCATGAATATGAATAGCAAACGGGTCTTTGCGTCTGCAATTCTAAATGGGGAACCATGCAGCCTATGTGAACTGGGTTAAGCCTTTTACAGGGGATAAAAGAAAAGCATTGTGTTCTCTTTGTGATCACATGAACGATATCTCCTGATGTTTTATATAAATATGGTAACTGTGCACCCCTGTATCATGTTTGAACATGCTAATGTTCAAAGCCTAACCCTTTCTAACTTGTCTTTCTCTCGTGTAGTAGTATGTATGTTTAAGGTTCTAATACACAGACAAGGAGTTTTCTATCCCTGCTACCTTCACTACCAATAGGGGGGTGCTAGTGATTATAGTGTTTGCTCACCATGCTTAAGACCGGTGTAAGTGGCCAGAGTACGCCTGACCTAGGCCATAGCACGCACGCATGAGAGGAGGGAGGGAGGGAGGGAGGGAGATGTGTACATAACTCATAACATAGGTTTTACAAAAACTTCATAAATTTTGTATTATGCAGTAAAATAAATGAAATGCACCTACAAATACCTTTATTTGACCGAGACCATTGCCTGGAGTCACTCACTCATATTGAGTGAATTGTCAACATAATTTTTTGGGGGGTATAGTCTGGGCTGTAGGGGTATACTTTAGCCTGGTCCAGAATATACATTCAGGTAAAAACTGGGCTAGCCTATAGTTTACCCCAGGGTATAATCTGGTGGGGGGTTATTCTGGGCTGCTACATGGGACCCCAAGTATTCACAATGTGTGAACATGGTGAAGGCCTATTTAGGTGACCTGTCCAGTGATATTGCTGAATTGGGGTGGTGAGGTAGCCTTGTGGTTAATGCTTTCCTTCATCAGCCGAAGACCGGGTTCAATTCAATCATGGCTACAATGTGTGTCCCCATTTCTGTTGTGGACCACTGGAATATTGCTGAAAGCAACCAAAACTAAACCTATGCATTCTTGTGTACATTATAGAGCTGTGGTTATAAGCGTAGCCCAGTGATATGAAACTAACAATAATCAGTGCAGTGAGCAAGGTGTGTTCAGACACCGGCTGTTTTACGCAAATCAAGGCGAAAATACCACCATATTGGAAATATTTATTATATCATGTGATAAAGAAGAACGTGTACATTACAATAATGCACAGCAGAGTCTTATATTAGAAGAATTGAGAAGAATATCAGATCGTCTTTCCATACTTGAAACCATGTTGGCTGCTAGACCACAGTGCGCATGCACTGGAGGTCTGTGCTTAATAACATAGGTTTTGCAAACATATGTTATTTATATACTGTAAAGAATATGATTATGTTATCTTTTATCAAGCTCATTAAAACTAAATTATTTGAATGAATGGCGTAAAAAATGACTCCCATGATGAATATCTGAATACACAGATGCCTTGTTCAGTTTTACAAAACATTCGTTAAAAATGTAAATACTTCCTGTTTAATCATTTCCAAAAACGTGAATACTGTGTACAGATATCTTGGTTGAAAATCTAATAATTAATTTGCGGTGGTCGTGTAACTTTCATAACGTTTCACTGTTTGTATTTATACAACTAAGGAGTGTTACGTGTATTAAACCTTGAATTTAACACTGTTTTCATCGTTATTTTAGAAATCGAAATAGATTTATGTAATTTTCTATGATATGTTTAACATATTTACCAAGCAAGCTGTTTTAACAGGGGATGTGAATTTTATTGTGAGTATTTGATGCTTGTTGATGCATTAATAAGCCAGTTGAACATGTGAAACTTATTGCTTATGTTGGTTTATTCCTACCTCAGTACCTGTCCAATAGCTGCCCATTGATAGTTCAGTCCATGGGCAGCTGGGGATTGGTGTAAGCTGGGAATTGATGTGTTGGGTAGAGGTGTAGGAGTGGGCATCTCGAAACGTTCATGGATCTGGTAGATGCTTGTACGGGCAGCATTTTTTGTGTGTGTTTCACGTAGCCACCATGGTCTAAAGTTCAGTCGGTCGTCAGTATAAAATAGAAAAAATAAGAATTAAAAGATTCATATTGATGTCATAAAAGAAGACAGAAACACCTGCAACTTTGATTCTGCTATATTTTGCCTCCATGAGAGGGTATGGGAAATCTGCATCTGGTAAAGAAGAAAAGTCTTGAAAAAAACTCATTTATTCTGTTTTCTTTGGTATTCGTTAAATAAATAACTATATACAGCAAAATCATTGGTTGTCAAATTGACAGACTGCAAGCAAAAGCACCAGCGAACAACAAAGACAAAAAGCAGAGAACATGTGTCACACAGTTGGGTCACACCATGGCCATTAAACAGTATGTTTATTCTTTATATATATAATAGTCCAGAGGTACAGATAAGCTGCGTTATCTGCGTAAATTACATAAATAATTATTTGAAAATGTCAATTCCTATTAAGTGATTTAGCGTACACATGGTACTGTAATTATAACTATTACAATTTTGACTTTTTGTAAAATACTCAATAAATTTGATCTTCACTTAACTACAAGCATTGTACACACAAAATAGATAAAATAACTGAGGTATATTGAGAGGTTCTATTTCAGCACATAAACTTGGCAACTTGCAGTCTTTCTTATTAAGTTTTGACCGCTTCCGTGGTGTAGTGGTTAGAGCCAAGCCCACCCAAAGAGCGGATAACTGGTTATGAGGTTCTATTCCCCGACATGAACGTCATACCAAAAGACGTTAAAATATGGTACTTGTTGGTCCCTGCCTGGCACGTTAACATATGGCATTAATGGGTACAACAAGGACTGGTCGGCTCGGAGTCAGTATAATGTGTCTGAGTGGGGTATTCATGCTTCACTGCGGCATGGTATCTCAGTGGGCTAGCACTATAAAACCAGCTTAAGTCTGGGCTAGTACAAGCAGCCGCATACATACACATACACATACGCATGCACGCACGTCGTCATATGAGCGAAATATTCTCAAGCACGACGTTAAACCCAATTTCACCTCACCTTCTTATCGTTTCTCATATTAGAGATCAAACATTAATAACAAACACCTAAAACAACTTTGGACTTTATTATATTTTAACAGTAAATGGGAAATGGCAAAATACCCAATTGAGTTTGAGTGAGGTGGGTACAATTCATTTGGTTACTCCAAGAAAAATTAGGATACCCAATTGAGATGAACACAAAGAGTACATAACTCAATGACCCAAAAAGTTATCTGTAGCTCTGATAGTCTATTAATAAATGAAATGTAAAGAAAGAAGAATGTTTATAACTAGTGTTTTACCTTTATTGTGAAGGGGCGGTGGGTTAGCCTAGTGGTTAAAGCGTTAAGCTCTGCGTCACCGAAGGCCCGGGTTCAATTCCCCTCATGGGTACAATGTGTGAAGCCCATTTCTAGTGTCCCCCGCCGTGATATTGCTGGAATATGTTAAAAGCGGCGTAAAACCATACTCACTCACTCACTTATTGTGAAGGGGCGGTGTATTAGCCTAATGGTTAAAGCGTTCACGAGTGAATGTGGGAAATCAAACCTGGGTCTTGACGAGTGAACGCTTAACCCCTAGGCTACCCCAACGTCCCTATTCGTATTTGAATCCTGTGTAATTTTTTCTAGATTGGAAGAACAGAAAACATAAAGAACTGCTTGGATCCCAAGTTCTCCCGATGCTTTAAAGTGAACTACTATTTTGAAGAAGTTCAGAAATGCCGGATAGCCGTGTACGATCTTGACAACGCAACACCTGAACTGTCTGATGACGACTTCCTCGGTCAGTTGGACTGTACCCTGGGTCAGGTCAGTAGCTTGTTGTTTTGTGACTGTACATATTCACAGTTGTATGTGTTCGTGAGAGAACATGACGAATTTAGGCTGTGAAATTGGAGTTTATTTTTGATGGATGATATCTCGAGAAATACAAGACTGACATATTGACAGGCTAGCTAGGGCTTGATTCATGCTATGAAGCGCTAACTTTGCGTTTACACTCACAGTCACAGTCGCGGTGTTTCAAACTTGTTAGTCAGATGTTTTTCTTAACAATTTTTCAACGGTACATGGCGGTTCAAGGGAGATAACTATCTGCATATATATTCATAGCATACCACTACTAAAGTACTGTCGGAATTAGAAAAAAACTGTTTTTAGGCTGTTACTCTGTATCTCTAAAATTTACACAATTGCAAATGGCTTATGTCGAAATAACGAGTATGACGACGGACCGTCGACTCACCTGGTATGAAATGCACGTGCTACCTACGGGCACAAGGGGTCATCTCAAAGATAGTTTATGCTTTATCATGTGTGTTGAATGTGTCTCATCTATTGATTGACATCTTACGTGTCTTTCTTTCACAAAGTTTATGTTGAGATATGTAAAAGAGTATGATACGCATACAAAAGCTTAAATGAGCCTTCGCATTAAATGTCTCAGAATATATAGGTGGCATGGCCACCCGAAGATCGACAGGATTGGATTGTGTTTGGAAATTGTTATGACATGCCGTTTGCTTCCCCAATCTATTTCCCCAAAAGGATTATCTTATCTCAGCTGATATCTCTATCACCCAGCCCGACCCCAACCACCGTCTGTCACACCCGTCCTGACACACCGTTTGAGACGACCCCTCCTACCTGTTTCTTTGTATAGTGATAGTGGGACTCCATGGTAGCTACATCCTTCATAGTTTCAGTATTACTATTAAAGTTATTATTGTTTACGTCAGCTATTGTATAATAAAGATAAGTTTATTTTTGAAATGGGTATTTAAAAAGTGTCCTTTGCAATACAGTATCATCGTACACTAATTTGCATAAAGTCATGGTCTGTTCCAAATAAGTTGCTTTGGACTTAGAAAAATCTGCATTGATTATTTCTGCACTAATCTCTCCTCAGTAAAGTCCTTTTTCTACGTTTCCTATCTCTCTACCACTGAGACTGTAGTTAGGCCGAACTTAGTTTAACAGATATTTCACACTTTCACATATCAACTACATAAATTGTAGATATAAATGATGCGAAAAATCAGGGTTTTTTTCTATTTCCGACAGTACTTTAATAGTGAGTCTCTTCACAAACTGGCAAATCATGAGAACTATCCAACATGTTGAGTTTTATAATGTTTCGCATCATGTCTACCTGTTTCCCATCCTCCATTTTCTGTGTGTTTCAGCTGGTCTCCAGCAACCCCTTCACTAAAAACTTGTTGATGCCCGATGGTCGAACCAAGGCCGGAAATGGAGTTATAACAGTAAGTTCATAGCAGGAATGGGAGTACTAAGAGACCATTCATAATATATGGCTAGGGGAGGTGATGATGATTTTAAGGAGGGGTCACCCATTTTGTATTGGGTAGATAGGAGTGAGCCGCACTCAGCAATATTCCACCTATATGATAGAGGGGGTCATCAATTTTGTACACACGTTCTAGGGGGTCAGCTATGTTGTACATGAAAATATTTTTAAAATTATGTTTAAAAATTATGGGAAGTAGGGGTGTGTCATTGATTTTGTACATGACATGCAGGGGGGTCATTTTCTTTGTACATAAATCTTTGGGGGTTTCATTTACTTTGTACATGCTTCTCCATAAAAATCATCATCACCCCCTCTAGCCATAAATTATGAATGGTCCCTAATGGTGGGGCATTTTGGCATCCTAATATTGAGTTTGTTTCGGGAAATGAAGTCCAAATAGTAAGTTTGTCTCCCAAAATGGAACCTTAATAGTAAGTTTGTTTTGGTAAATCAAGTCTTAACAGTCATTATAGTAACTGAGAGCTGGTTTGCTTGTGGTTTAACCCCACACTCAGCAATATTATAGCTATATGGCGGCAGTCTGTAAATAATCGAAGTCTGGACCAGACAATCCAGTGATCAACAGCATGAGCATCAATCTATGCAATTGGGATATGATGACGTGTCAACCAAGTCAGCGAATCTGACCACCCGATCACGTTAGTCGTCTCTTACGACAAGCATGGGTTAATGAAAACAATTCTAACCCAGATCGTCTCCCTGTCTCTTACGACAAGCATGAGTTAATGAAAACAATTCTAACCCGGATCGTCTGGGGCTGACAGCTGGAAATGGAGTTATAATAGTATGTTTGTAGCAGCATTATAGATTCAAGATAGTTAGTTCATAGCAGGAACTTGTCTATTTGCTTTAAAACCTCTTAAAACCTCAAGTACCTTCTAACCCCTTGACTTTATAGGTTGTTAATAAATTCACTGTTTTTGTGTCAGTGATATGCAACTCATTGCATATTTTGGCTTCAGGTTCGAGCAGAAGAGGTGAAGGAGGGAGGCGAGATAGCTTACATGACATTTAGAGGGAAAAACCTGGACAAGAAGGTACGAGCATAACCATAGAAACAGTCATATCGTAACCATAGTAACAGTCATATCAATGCTATGCACCTGTTTGCCTTTCGGTTGTACTATATTTTTAGTAATTTTGAAAACACCAGTGGTATTGTCAGTAGTGTGTGTAAAAATTGATAGTTTTTATGGTCACAGTTGGTTAGAAATATGACAGGCAATGGGGAAGCCTAGTGGATAAAGCACATCTGGCCAAATTGGGTTCGATTCCTGTCATGGGTACAGTCTACAGTGGATAAAGCCCATTTCTAGAGTCCCTTGCTGTGATATTGCTGTAGTGAGTGAGTGAGTTGGGCTTCATGCCGCTTTTAGCAATAATCCAGCAATTTCACGGAGGGGGACACCAGAAATGGGCTTCACACATTGTACCCATGTGGGGAATCGAACATGGGTCTTTGGCCTGATGAGCAGAAACTTTAACCACTAGGCTACCCCCGATATTGCTTCTTTTTGATAGTATTTTACTCACTAGTTTCAACAGTTCCTTTCATATTTCTATTTGTTATATGTGTTGATCTTCTTAGATGGTGTGGGGAAAACATTTATATATACAGTCAAATCCTGATGAGTCGAATGCCGGCGTCTCAAATATTATGCATAACTCGAAGTACTTGTCGGTCCCGACCATTCCCTTTATAGTTGTCATCATTTGAATACCGGTTACACGAATTCGTCTCATAAATACACACGATGACTCGAGAAGAAAATTTGGTCCCATGAGATTCAAACAACAGCAATCTTGTATACATAAGCCGAAGTCAGTCAATGAGAAGTTGATTGGTGTAGCAAACTGATCCAATTAACAAACCAGCACGGCTCACACCTTTCCGCCTTTGACGGGTGAGTTCAAAAGGCAGATTAGTGATTTTACGGAAATCACTGTCTGTGCTAATCAGACTGGAACTGATAAGGTGCCCCTATTAGTGATAGGGAAATCATTAGATAAACACATGCTTAGGCGGAGGAATTAGGACTGGATCATCTTTTTTTCTACTCTCATAGACATACCTATGTCTCGAATACATCGATAAGACGAATTTATTACTTGGTCCCCAGAGATTCGACTCATCGGGATTTGACTGTATATATCTATGTGGAAACACAGGTAAAAACCTTTTCATTTTGATAATCACAAAATAGATTGAATCTTGAAAAGCAAAATCAGTCTTCGGCTTGGCTAATGTTAAAGCTAATATATTTTATACTTATCTGGGGAATTCATTTTGCAGGACTTTTTTGGCAAGTCTGATCCATATTTGGAGATTCTTCGCTCAACAATGGACCGTAGTTGGCAGGTGGTCCACAGAACTGAGGTGAGTCCACTGTGGTTAGTGCTGGACCAACTGATTGAATAATCGGTCAATCATCGATCTCGCTTGTGTCAGTTATTATCAAAGAGCTTATCAGACTAATCTTTATTCATAAAAACGGAAACATCACTGGATTGTCTGGTCCAGACTGAATTATTTACTGACTGCCGCCATATAGCTGGAATATTGCTGAATGTGGTGTTAAACAACAAACAAACAAGCGTAATACTAGTATTATTTTGTGGAATGGTGCCCTGGTGCAGGGCCCTTACTCTCGAAGTGTTCGTAGGCCTAAGAACTTAGGACTACGAACGTTTCGAGAATAGCTAGCCTGGAGCTTATAAAACAGTGGGGTCGTGGTGCTTACTTTGGACCCATTGCACAGACAGATTCTAGAATCATGTCATAATCTTGACATGAAGAAATAGTCACAGATTAGAGTAAGAATGCAAGAAGTGGAACCAGTATATTTCTGTGGTTGTAATAACACTGTTTCTGATCCAGGTCATCAAGAACTCTCTCAACCCAAGTTGGCGGCCATTCCAGGTTCCTCTGTCGACGCTGTGTGCAGGCAACAGAAGTCAGGAGATTCGGTGAGAACTGACTTCCTCTCAAAGTGCCTCTCTACGTAAAAACACATTCCCAATTGCGCAGATCGATGCTCATTGTGTTGATCACTGGATTATCTGGTCCAGACTCGATTATTTACAGACCGCCGCCATATAGCTGGAATATTGCTGAGTGCAGCGTAAAACTAAACTCACTCACTCACTCACTCACACACACACGCATGGACATCGTCATATGAGTGAAATATTCTTAAGTGCGACGTTAAACCCCATTCCATCACACCTGATGTAGTTGACTTTGTTAATCTGTAACGACGGGTGCAATTATTAATGAATCGAAACGTCTTCAGAAGCCAGAACCTCCACGATGATCATAGCCCCCATACTTGACAAAGTCTAAGGCAGACATAGAGCTGAGATTACATTGCCCTGAATTGTCGTTGTTCCTGATCCTAGTTGTGACATGTTTGTGTATCTTCAGTTTGATATCTATGACTGGGACAGCGACGGGAGTCACGACTACATCGGCTGGCTTCACCACCACCGTGGATGAGATGATGAAAGCCAGTCACCAGGAGGTAGGTGCTGCAGGCTGAAACACTGGTCGATCTGTCTCCACATTAGTGAATATCTGAAGACTAGGATGCTCTACTGGATTACATTGAATTGTGGACTGTTCGAGTTTAACTGAAAATGTCTGTCTTTAAACTGCAAACTTCTCCTATCTTCAAAGTAAAGTCATCCGAGATTCTGCAGTTTGGTATGCAAAGTTACATCCCTTTGTTGCACCAGGATCTGCTGTGAGTGGATGTGAACAAATAGAATGGACACTTTTGTTCCAGCACCTGTGCACGGTAGAAAATGTAACAGTAATAATAATAGTGGATTTGTATTGCGTTTTTCCATACTTGGATAGTATGCTCATTTACTCACTTGTTGTGAATCTTGTTCCAGTATTCCTGGCCGGTCATCAACCCAAAGAAAAAGTCCAAAAAGAAAAATTATACCAATTCAGGAATATGTTTGCTAACATCCATGAAGGTATGTACATGGCATTGAATGTTGAACTAACTTTTGTTGTGATGTTTAGCTATCAGTGTGGATACTTTGATCAGGAGCGGTGGAGGGGTAGCCAAGTTGTTCAAGTGTTTGTTCATCTCGCTGAAAAACTCAGGTTCTATTCCCCACTGGGAATAGTAAAAGTTTTGGTGTCACTTGCATCATATTGCTGGATTATTTCTAAGAGTGGTGTAACTGTAAGTCAGATCATATGCAGTTACCTGTTGTCGTGGGTGATCCAGTGATTTGAGCACTTGTCACACTAAAGACCTGGCATTGACTCCACTGATGCATGTGTGAGTGAGTGAGTTTGGTTTTATGCCGCTTTTAGCAATATTTCAACTATATCATGGCGGGGGGACACCAGAAATGGGCTTCACACATTGTATCGAACCTGGGTCTTCGGCATGACGAGCGAATGCTTTAACCACAAGGCTACCCAACCACCCTGTGAATTGATACAATGTGTGAGGTTTATTTTTGGTGCCCCCTCTGTTGAGTTGCAGGTACATTGCTCACTCACTCACTCACTAATTGATGCTGATTTGTGCTGATAACACTTTATCAGTGTTCCTGGGTTTTACCATTTACCCCCACAATAAGCTGAGACTCTTTGCTGCCACTGAAATACCCCTCATTGTGATATCACCATGATTACTCACTCATTCACTATTGCAGATCATGAAGGAACACACATTTTTAGAATTCATATTCGGGGGGCATGCAGATCAATTTTACAGTAAGTATGTTGATGGTTTGGCTTTAATCATGACTAAAATGAGACTGTTACCATGATAACCTGTAGTATGCAGTGAGACTGCAGTATAAAGCCCAGAGCTCTATTTCACAAAGCAATCTTATTGCTACGACTGTCGTAACTTGATGTTAAAGTATGGGATAATCATATTCACATTGTGGTCCATTTTGTCACAACACCATTGTTTCTGTTTGTAACTGTGAATGACTTTTCATTTAAGTTGGTGTTGATGTCAAACTATTTGATTTCAGGTAGGTGTAGATTTCACAGCCTCCAATGGTAACCCTGGTAACCCCACATCGCTGCACTACATCAACCCCTACCAGCCTAACGAGTACATGCAGGCAATACGAGCTGTTGGGGACGTGTGCCAGGATTATGATTCGTAAGTAGCTCTTGTAGCTTCACTTGCAGTTACACCTGTAGTTACACCTGCAGTTACACCTTTAATTAAACTTGCAGTTTCACCTTTAATTCCACTTGCAGTTACACCTATGTTTACACTTGCAGTCACACCTGTAGTTACACCTGCAGTTACACCTGCAGTTACACGTGTAGCTTCACCTGTAGTTACACCTGCAGTTATGCCTGTAGTGTTGCCCTTTACACTGCAGTTACACCTTTTTTAACTTGCAGTTTCACCTTTGTTTACACCTGCAGTTACACCTTAGTGTTTTACACCTTTACAGTTGCAGTTACACCTTTGTTTACACTTGTTTACTCCTGCAGTTACCTTTGTTTACACCTGTAGTTAAACTTGCAGTTACACCTTTAATTAAACTTGCAGTTTCACCTTTGTTTACACCTGCAGTTACACCTGTAGTTAAACTTGCAGTTTCACCTTTGTTTACACCTGTTTACAGCAGTTACACCTGTAGTTTTACACCTGCAGTTACACCTTTGTTTACACACAGTTACCTGCAGTTACACCTGTAGTTAAACTTGCAGTTTCACCTTTGTTTACACCTGCAGTTACACCTGTAGTTAAACTTGCAGTTACACCTTTAATTAAACTTGCAGTTACACCTTTGTTTACACCTGCAGTTACACCTGTAGTTACACAAGCAGTTTTACACTTGTTTTTACACCTGCAGTTACACCTGTAGTTAAACTTGCAGTTACACCTTTAATTAAACTTGCAGTTTCACCTTTGTTTACACCTGCAGTTACACCTGTAGTTAAACTTGCAGTTACACCTTTAATTAAACTTGCAGTTACACCTTTGCTAGTTTTGCACAATATCATACACAGTTACACCTGCGGTTGTAGTTACCTGTAGCCAAGCAGTTTTACCTTTGTTTACACTTGCAGTTACACCTGTAGTTACACTTGCAGTTACACCTTTGTTTAATTAAACTTGCAGCAGTTTCACCTTTGTTTACACCTGCAGTTACACCTGTAGTTAAACTCTTTGCAGTTACACCTACGGGCTACAGTTATGTAAACTTGCAGTTATCACCTTCGTTTACACCTGCAGTTACACTTGCACATTCACCTGGTTAATAGTCTGTTATATTTACCTTTGTCTTATAATCATAATTAGTTACACTTGCAGTTACACCTTTAATTAAACTTGCAGTTACACCTTTGTTTACATCTGCAGTTACACACTTCACAGTTAAACAATGATAGCTACAAATGAATAAAACAATATTGACGCAACATTAAAATTAAAACAGATCACCTTGTTCGAGAATGTATCCATCAATATCAAGCAGTTACACCTTTTTACCGTATTGGTGTACACCATAATGTCCGCTTTCTTTAAAAACAGCAAATAAGCTTAATGGGCAATCAATCACCCGGTTAATCCTTACATTCACGCGGTTTTACTGTAGTTACACCTGCAGTTACACCTTAAACACTGTTTACACCTGCAGTTACACCTGTAGTTAAACTTGCAGTTACACCTTTGTTTACACAAATTCATTAACTGTCAAGGAATGATGACAAATACACCTAACACGGTTACAACAAGGAGTATTAATTGCTGTATTGCATGTTATGGGCCGAACTTTTTGAGAATACAGCACCTTTGTGGACTAATTACAAATAGATACCACCTAACACGGTTACACCTGTAGTTGCAGTTACACCTTTGTTTACACCTGCAGTAACACCTGTAGATGAATTCCTTTAGTTACGCCACTTGCAGTTTCGCCTCGGTTTACCTGTAGTTACACCCTCGATTTAAGTCAATTAAACTTGCAGTTACACCTGTAGTTACACTTGCAGTTACACCTTTGTTTACACTCTGCAGTTACTCCTAGTTAAACTTGCAGTTACACCTTTGTTTACACCTGTAGTTACACTTGCAGTTACACCTTTGTTTACACAAGCAGTTACACCATTGTAGAGGAAAGTGGTGGGAGTGTAAAGGGATAGGAAAATTATAAAAGACATACCTTTGTTTGAGAACAGATGAGTTGCCTGTTGTACAATATATTGTGGAAATAGGCTCCCAAATTACAGACTCAGTCCACTGTGGTTACAAGTATTTGCAAGGACTGCTATGATTGGTGTTTGCATTGCAAGAACTGTCATAAACATGTTGACTTACATGATTGTCATAGTTTGCCTCTGTTCAAGGGAGACGACTTTACAACCTTCCATTATACCTTGGGACAAGTTACTGTGCTCTCATTTCTAGTTGAAAACCATGAGTTACATTAAGGAACATAATCCGCAAAAATTTTCACAAGACACACAGTGTACTGTGTTTCAAAGTAACTTGATCCTATAAGTTTCAGATGTCTGTCTGACCCACTGAAAATGCACAGGACCCATGAAAAAAAATCAAACACATTTCAGATTTAACATTTCATATAATTGGCATTAAATTATTAACAAGCCGTAAAGTTTATAAACAGCAAACAAGTGTGACATGTCACATGTGACAACTTCAGTCAAAGTCATTGTGAAACATACAGTAGGACACTGGGGCTGGCGAGACTATCGGACCGTTTTGCTTAATTGTCCGAGGGTCAGATTCGTGGACTCTGGACACAAAGTGATACTTTCTTAAACAGATGTCATCTGACATTTAGGTATTTTCTGTTGTTTCCTATGAAAGGAGAACTACAATAAACTACAGTTATGACAAACTCAAACGAACCGCTAATTTTAGTAGTTCATTAAACGCATTATATCTGAAGTACACATAAAGTGGATCGGACCAAACAACAGTTAATACTTTCCATCAGTTCGTTATAAGCATGTTCATAATAAATGTGTTACTGTATTGATATCAACTCCATAACCTTGCTCCATTTGATAATCATGATTATCTTCACCATGATTCATGTGGGTTTATCTAGAATATTTTCAAACAAATGTTACACATTTCAGTGACAAGATGTTCCCTGCCCTTGGGTTTGGAGCCAAGATTCCCCCAGCAATGGAAGTCTCTCATGAGTTTGCTGTCAACTTCGATATGCAGAATCCCTTCTGTCAAGGTGAGGTGCTGTCTGGTGGAGTTCTAGACTATGTTTTGTCGGGGCTGAATTTACAGAGTACTGAAGCCACTGGATGAGTCCTGATAGGTGGACTTACAGATTACTAGTATATCCTAAGGATGCGTTATTCTTTTTGCATTTGTTTGTTATTTGCATACAACATAAAAAACACAAAGTTGCTCTTTAGCTTTTGGGGCGATGGGGTAGCCTAGTGGTTAAAGTGTTCGCTTGTCATGATGAAGACCTGGGTTCTATTCCCCACATGGGTACAATGTTTGAAGCCCATTTCTGGTGTCCCCGGCTGTGATGTTGCTGGAATATTGCTGAAAGCAGCATAAAACTAAACTCACTCACTCAGCTTTAGTTTTTGTGTGGTATATTACCCAATGACAGGTGAAAGAAAATTCTTCTAAATCATTACAAAATTTGAAATATATTTTTGGACATTATGGATGAAAATCTGTTACATGTCACTGAAAATAAATCCTGATAATAAAAGATACATGAAGTACAGGCAAGGGCAGGTAACTCTAAACATGCTTCACATGTATGGCAATGATTTGTTTGTATAAAAAATGCGGGCCCCAAACCACTCACCCACCCACCCACCATCCATCCACCCAGTCCATCCCATCCATCCATCCATCCATCCATCCAGGAATCCATCCATCCATCCCATCCATCCATCCATCCACTCCACCATGTGTTTCATCATCCATTTGGTTTTCCATCCAGGAATCCATCCATCCATCCATGTGATCCATCCAGATGGAATGTTATTTACCAAAACGAAATCCATCCGCGGGTGTAGTGATCCATGTCATCCGACTAAATGTGAATTTGTTTTCTCCAGGAATTGACGGTGTGCTGGGAGCTTACTCCAACTGTATCCGACACGTCCAGCTGTACGGACCCACCAATGTGTCGCCCATCATCCGACATGTTGCTAGGTTCGCATATGCAGCTCAAAGAGAAGAACAAACAAAAGGGGCACATGTGAGTCTTCACAGATGGAATGTTATTTACCAAAACAAAACTGTAAAAACTTTTTCGCCAAACTTTGCTGTTGTCCAAATTGATGCATTTAAAACATGTTATGAAAATGTTACTTGTTAAATATATGTGTGTGATTAACTTTTCAAATATGAACTTTTATTGTTCATGTAATGGGCAAGAATGTCCTAGTGGTCTTTCTGCAGAGTTGCCTCCCCTTATCATGTCAGTGTCAATTGATTGGTTTTCTGCTCATTTCCTTCTGAGATCATAAGGTTGTTCATGAGACACCCTTGCTTGATGGTGTTATGATGCAACTCACTCACTCACTCACTCACTCACTCACTCACTCACTCACTCACTCACTCACTCACTCACTCACTCACTCACTCACTCGCTCGCTCACTCACCTACCTGACAATAAGTTGCTTGTCCATTATACAGGCGTATTACATCCTGCTGCTGCTGACCGATGGCGTCCTGAGTGACATGAGCTCTACCAAGCAGGCCATCGTGGAGGCATCCAAGTTACCAATGTCACTCATCATCGTAGGTGTAGGTGGCGCTGACTTCTCTATGATGGAGGAGCTGGATGGCGATGATGGGCTGCTGAGAGCTCCGAGCGGGGAGCCCGTCAAGCGGGACATCGTGCAGTTTGTGCCATTCAGGGAGTTCAAGCAGGTAGGCAAACTTGTCCAGATTTTACACCCAACCAATTCATTTTCTTGTTTTAAGGATAACCTAAGTAGATTTTGTGGAAAGAAAAATATGTTTTTTAACATTTTTATCCTTTGTTAAATTTTTAATGTCAAAGGAAATTTTCAGAAATGAATGATAGTGTTTCTTAGTTTTGTCACAGAAAATCCTTAAAACAGGAAATTAATTGGCCTTAGCAGGATTGTCAACTTGTCTGTGGACAATTCAATTAAAAATTCACTTGTCAGTAGACAAAGTCAGCTATCTTTTCTAATTTCCTCTGTCTTTCGCCACCTGTGAACCTGTGAAGATGCGGGTTAGAATTGGTTTTCAGTAACCCATGCTTGTCATAAGAGGCGACTAACGGGATCGGGTGGTCAGGCTTGCTGACTTAGTTGACACATGTCATTGTATCGCAGTTGTGTAGATCGATGCTCATGCTGTTGATCCCGGGATCGTCTGGTCCAGACATGATTATTTACAGACCGCCGCCATATAGCTGGAATATTGCTGAGGGCGGCATTAAACACCAAACAAATGAAACCAATCACCACCTGTGATTTTGCAGTTTGATATCCCGTGATTTCTAAAACAACAGAAGTGAATTTATTACAATCAGACTGCTGTCAGCACTAATAAGGTACCGGTGCATGGAAATCATATATCAAGCATTGAATTTCCATATCACTGTGCATTTCATATATGACCACAATAAACAGTTTTGTGATGAAATACTGCTGCTGTTTTTGCCTACTGACCAGGTATGTGAAAAATGTTCAAGGGAACCATTATAACATGTACATTTAAGTCTTGAAGAAGATCAGGAAATTAATTAAGATATAACATTTAATAAAAGCCAAAAATTGGAAAGATGTGCGAAAAATGTGAAAGCTTGAAAATCTGTATCAAACAGAATGATTGATTAAATTTTCATAAGCACTATTTAACCATATAAAGTGTGCAATATAAAAAATATGTTGCTGTACTGGTTGATAAGACAGATATAAATAACTCAAAGGTTCCCTTCGACATTTTTCAGAGTACCCCAGAGGAACTGGCTCGTCATGTGTTAGCCGAAGTACCCAAACAGGTCGTTGAGTACTACCGACTTCAAGGCATCCACCCCAACAAACGGCAGCAGATGGACCCAATCCCCTCATAAACGACAGCCGAATTCCTTATAAGGTGACACTAAGTCTGCAGGGCTTCTGTGTCACAATGGTGTAGTCGCACATGTAGACGTAGTCAAACAGATGTTGTTGATGATACCATCTCCACTCAAGAACAGAATGGGATTCACAGTTTTGATGATCTGTACCTGCATCGTATTGCTGTCAAAGACTGTGGGCGGTGGGATAGCCTAATGGTAACATTATCTGCTCACCACGCTGACAGGGTTCGATTCCCCACATGGGTACAATGTATGAAGCCCATTTCTGGTGTCCCCTGCAGTGATATTCCTGGAATATTGCTACAAGCGTCATAAAACCTTACTATATTGTAATAAACTGGTTGTGTAAGTGTTAAGACATACAGAATTCACTTAACAACACTGGGATATTAACTAATATATTTATTTACCTATGAAGTTTGGACTCTGTGAATAATGCATAGAAAAGTGCTATGGGTCACTTATTGTTAAACAGACATGTATATCACTGTTATAAGCTTTTGAGGCGTGTTACACATGTGGGGCAGAATGATACTGGAGACATATGTTACCTTATCCAACAATTCTTGCCGAATTATTTCTACAAATGTCAACTCATTGGGGTAAAATGCCCAACAGACCCAAAGAAGTAAAACATCTTGAATACCTGAAGAAAATACTCAATGGCTAAAAGAGGTATCTGAAACCCTGATAGACTATTTATCATGTTTATGTAAACTTTGAGGCAAAAATTAATCACAGATATGCTGGGATACTTGAGCAACGATACATGTTATTTCATAACTATTTACATGGGACCCATGTCACTCTATCTGTAAACATTCCTAAAGTTCATCTTTCTTTTAAGTTTGACAAACACTGAAATATATACTTATCATTACTTCATAGTGTTGAAATAATATTATGAAATTTGTCGAAATGCCTGAACCAAAAGTATTTTATCTACCCAAATTATTGATGATATATAGTTACAATGTTGTTGCATTTCATGATGGCAAGGTAAACTAGGTTATCAATACATTATAATGATTATATACCTCCCTAGAATGGTATAACTTGATACATGACTGAAGCCAGTAGCTGTGCGTCCATGTTTGTCACAGTGTTTATGAAGGGTAAACTAGGTTATCAATACATTATAATGATTATATACCTCCCTAGAATGGTATAACTTGATATATGACTGAAGCCAGTAGAGGTGTGGCCATGTTTGTCACAGTGTTTATTGTGATCAGTTTATATGATTTTCTATATGAGCACTCAAGTTTTATATGGTTTATTTATATGTTTAATCAAGTTTGTAGCCTCCCATCATTGTTTGGTGAGTCTGATTTCTTCGTTGTACAGTGCACAAATTGATCATACTTATTATCGTTATATTGATGACACTTTGATTTGTGTGTTGTATATAGCTTACTAGTTGTTTATGATAAGAAAAAGCCCCCAAATATTCATTCCATTGATACAGTGGTAGAACCAGATATTTTCATTGTAAAATAAGATGTACATGAAATAGAAACTAGTCACAGCTTAGGCCTGCAATATATTACCACACTAAGCAGCAGTTATTCATATCATCATATATATGAATAAGGGCATTCTGATTTTTTTATCAGATCATCTACACCGATAGCATACGTGAGTGCCTGAGATCTGAAAACACACAGAATGTTACTTACATGTATGATCACTTTATGAGATGGGGAGTAAACAGATGCGGAGTTAACACATTTCACACTGGAAACTGACTAGATTGTCTTCTATCATACCAATCACCCAGCTGAGATCACTTTTCAGGACATCAAGTTTTAATCGATTGCATGCGATGGTAGCGTAGCGATCGGCAAAGCAGGCGGGTGGGGTATACCGGAGTGTCCGACTTGTCATGATGTATTGTACTGTGAAGCATTTTGAGTCGGGGGTCATCTAAAAAACAATATTTTTTAAATCATTAATCTTCGCAAAGACACGAGGGCCTGTGGTGGAGATCACTTATCAGGAGTGGGACAGAGTATATAGTATTAGTTTTAATCGAACAGGGACCCTATCCGTAAACACTACACCATTTGTAAGCCAGTGCTTAAGTATAGAGTGACGATGAGTCGCAGCACTATGAACGCTTTGTGGATCAGGGCCTGTTTCACAAAGCTATACCGTAACATAGACTTACGACGGTCGTAGCGCTACGATAGCTTTGTGAAATGGGGCCCAGACTCCTGGCAAAAAGAGGACAAACTTATTGACCATCTTAACATAATCTTGTAAGCTGATAATCTTGGTGGGCTGTGGGGTAGCCTAATGCTTAAATTGTATTGGTGTGGGTGGTCTCTGTTGCAATGTAAAAGCAGCATAAACCAAACTCAGAGTCATGCTGATTATAAATGTACCACTGGTCATGCTGATTATAATATTCTTGTCACCACCACCAGCTGCAAGATGGCTGATGCTGCATCAATCAATATTCACTCACTGTTCTTAGGAGCTGTTGTTGCTAAGTTATTCTTGTTAAATGTTGTTGAGGAAAGTATTTGTGCCTTTCAATCATGTGTCCATCGTTCAAAACCCTCTTCTGTGGGCACAGGTAGCCAGGTGGGCTATGTGCCACCATTCAGGTTGGTGGGTTTCGATGCTCAGATTCACCGTGATCTGTGATTTGTTAGCACCTTACCTGTGCTTGTTGGTTTCTCAATATTTAAATATGTACATCCTGTATCTGTTTATATTTCTTCCAACATCATGATGCGATATTACTGCCACTGAAGTGTTTTAGCCTAAACTCACTGCTGATTACAGTATCTCTGTCTTGTAAGTTTGTGATTGTTTACATATTCGTGTGGTCTTTGACTTTTCCAGCCTAAGTAAACCTAGGCTCAGTATTATTCCTCACACTGCTGTACTGAGTCTAACAAAACCTAGTAGAAGGTCGTGTCAGCTAACCTTTGAGCGACCTTTGACCGTCAAATCAAACGCGAGACTGCCGAATGGATTTAACCAATCAGACAACGACTACTTGTTAGGGTTCGCCGGGACTTACAAAACGGTTTTTATTTTTCCTTTTCCCTGGTCGCTGACACTAATCTATCAACAAACGAAAATCCGCATAAAACACAGATATTTGACCTGCAGTATATACGCTTATGGTTTCTAATGACATGGATACTATTTCGCAAGATGACATCCTTGAATATTGACAAAAACGCTATTTTCAGCAACTGTTTACTTATCGCGTGTATCACTATCATTCAGAATCATTCAAGTTTTTTAGATAAAGGTTCAAACAGTATGTGCGAATGTTAACTTTTGCAATTTGGTAAGCTGTGTTCTGATTGGTCAGTCCTAAAGGTTAGCTGACACGACCTTCTACTTGGTTATGTTAGACTCTGTATAGCAGTGTAACGAATAATACAGAGCCTAAGTTTACTTAGACTGTGATTTTTCAATTGATATGTCATTATAAACAGATATGTTATTGTAATATTATACTACTTAAAACAAGCTGAGGGCCACCAGATTCTTTCATGTTATTACAGTTAATTTGTTATGGCATGGCAGTGGTTTTTTACACATACAGTCAAATCCCGATGAGTCGAATGCCGGTGTCTCGAATATTATGCATAACTCGAAGTACCTGTCGGTCCCGACCATTCCCTGTTATAGTTGTCATCATTTGATTTCCGGTTACACGAATTCGTCTCATAAATACACACGATGACTCGAGAAGGAAATTTGGTCCCATGAGATTCAAACAACAGCAATCTTGTATACATATGCCGAAGTCAGTCAATGAGAAGTTGATTGGTGTAGCAAGCTGATCCAATTAACGAACCAGCGCGGCTCACACCTTTCCGCCATTGACGGGTGAGTTCAATAGGCAGACTAGTGATTTTACGGAAATCACTGTCTGTGCTAATCAGACTGGAACTGATAAGGTGCCCCTATTAGTGATAGGGAAATCATTAGATAAACAAATGCTTAGGCGGAGGAATTAGGACTGGATCATCTTTTTTTATACCCGCATAGACATACCTATGTCTCGAATACATCGATAAGTCGAATTTATTACTTGGTCCCCAGCGATTCGACTCATCAGGATTTGACTGTACTTGTAGAGGGCTTATTGTGTGGAAGACGCTAGTTTAATATATGGCTACCAAAGGCTACCGAAGCATTCACAGTGTTAAGTAGCTTTGGGCTTGATGAACCAACCTGTTTTTGTTTATGTAAACTTTCATGATGAGCTTGTGTCTTTCTTCTGTATAATGATACCTGTGTATCACCCTTGTTCTCCTGTTTCATGTCCATGCTCATTAAATGTACTTTGTGTTCAGGGGCCAGTTGGGTAGTCTAGTGGTTAAAGTGTTTTCATGTCATGGGTTTGATTCCATACAGGGGTGCAATGTGTGAAGCCCATTTCTGGTGTCCCCTGCCGTGATGTTGCTGGGTGTAAAACCCAACCCACTCACTCACTCTTCTGTACAGTATAGGGCTTATGTTATTCATATGAATAAGGAATATATGTTACCAACATCAAGCTCATTAATATCAGATGTTTTCCTCTTCACCTGTCTGCATTGAAATCTGACATCTTCATAGAGCCTGCATCAAGTCTTGTGACAATCTTTCTGGAACAATCTTGATTCATTTCTTGACCGCCTTAATTCGGAAATTTTGATCCTAGCAAATGAAAAATATACAAATATACCCATGGTGTTACCCTCATTTTGAAGTTGATGCCATGGCAACCAGAAATTCCTTTATTGTCTATGACAGGAGCTAGTCATTCAAGTTCATTTTCCTGGAACAGAAATCAGCTGGTAATGACGTTTTGCATGCTTGTATGTCGCTTAATGCTGATTGGTTGAGTAGAAAGTTTTGGCCTTGACATTCTGTGGATTTGTTGTCAGGCCTGCATTCTGAGTCATTATATGAGAGAAAAGATCTGAACAGAATTCAATTGCTTGCAGATTTGACAGTTCCAGATATTCTTCCGAGATGAATATGCAGTATTATTGTATATTCATATGTATTGTATAAACTGAATTTGTAAGTTGGTTGGGAGCATGTCCTTGTACTCAGAGTGTGGACTGGTGCTGAAAATATCAGTCACTGCATTGTCTGGCCTAGACAATGGTGCAGCCAGTGTGCTCTATTAGACAACTTGCAAAAAGTTATTTTTTCTTTGTGGAGGCAAAGTCTTCAGTTGGTCCAGGTCCGGTTACCTCATCCTGCTCTTGAAATGTATAAACAGGAATACTTCATATCTGTTAGATTCTGAACAAATGTACAATACCAGTGTATGAAATAAGCCAAATTCCAGCCAGACATCAGGGCTGTAACTTCAAAATGTTACCAGCCCAAAATGGATTTAACCAGACCAAATATGGTGATGTTACTCATATGTATGGAACATCTAAAAATTTTACCAGACCATCGGGCTGACTAGCTGTAAATATAGACCGTCCGTCAGAAATCTAGCCCGTCTCGGTCGGTCGGACGGGCCTTATTTCATACACTGGCAATACATTATTGTCCTCATCAAAACTTGATCATATTTATGTGTTATTTCATCTCATAAATGTACTTTTGATAGAGATATTTCTAGTTGTTTGGTTTAGTCATATAGTGCTCATTTTATGAACATTTCATATGTGTTTTCAGTAGTGTGTTTCCAGTACGTTCACTTGACATGTGTTACTGGAAGAATGTTGCTAGCACCATAAACCTATATTCACTGACTTGAAATATTGGTCATTGTACCCGGTTTTTTTTCATGTGACACTTTGTTTCCTTTGAAATGTTTTATATATGTTAATATTCTTTTGAATAAACTACTGTCTACCTTGACATTGTGTGTTAGTGTATTTGTGGTGTAATTTGCCAGAATTAGGGACAGTGGTAGCAGCTGGTGATGTAGTGGCAGTAGCAGCAGTTACTGTAGCAGCTGTAGTAGTAGAAACTACATTGTTGTATTTGTAGTAATACTAGTATCAGCAGCAGCAGCAGCAGCAGCAGCAGCAGCAGCAGTAGTAGTAGTAGTAGTAGTAGTATCAGCAGCAGTAGCAGTAGTAGTAGTAGTAGTAGCAGTAGTAGTAGTAGTAGTAGTAGTAGTAGTAGTAAAAGTAGTAGTAGTAGCAGTATTAGCTGTAGTAGTTGTTGTAGTAGTTGTACAATAACAATATTATTAGTAGGAGATGATGTGAGTTTGGTAACATTTAGCATTGCACAGCTGTATTTCAGCCAAGTGGCCTCGACACCAAGTTCACACATATACAAATGTTCATTATAAACAGAATGTCATGCTCAAAAGCATTCATAAACACTTTTTATGCACATTTAGCATTACTATATTCTTTAGCAGCAGATGTAGCAGCACTTGTAGGAGTGATAGTAGTAGTAGCAGTAGCAGTAGTAATAGTAGTAGTAGTAGTAGTAGTAGTAGTAGCAGTAGTAATAGTAGTAGTAGTAGCAGTAGTAATAGTAGTAGTAGCAGTAGTAGTAGTAGTAGTAGTAGTAGTAGTAGTAGTATGAGCAGCAGCCACAGTAGTCGTAGTATAACCATTTCCCAGTCTGACCCTTTGTTTTCTAACATGACAGTCCTCTAAATTTTGATTGACGTTTATGAAAGGTGAAGGTCACAAGGATTTTCATCAACATCATTTTGGCAATGGCCTGGAGTTTGGTTTCACAAACATTTTGTGTCATCACTTCTTTTCAGTAATCCATACTGAAATCATTTTCACAGTTTTGCCTATCATACCCAATGTTTGGGCAGATAACTGAGACGAATTAATCTCTAATATTGACATGTTATATTCACTTAGGGTTCTGTGATATGATTCATGTGCTGTACAATAATATGTTGTGTTGTGTTTCAGAGTTCGAAGGTAGAGCTTGCCAGACACGTCCTGTTTGAAGTACCTCAACAAGTGACACAGTACTACAAGATGAGAGGGATCCGCCCTTCACCACCTGTCGAGAGGCCTGCTGTAGTACCAGCTGATACAGAACCTTCCAACAAACCATCAGCTACACCCTCTACTCACAGAGAGTCAGCCCTGCCCCCAAATCAGAGCATGCCTGCAACCTACCCTCAAGGTGCTCCTTATAATCAAGGACCACCATCTCAACCAGGACCACCCTCTCAGCAAGGACCACCTTATAAACAAGGCCAATACCCTTCACAAGGACCACCCACACAGCAAGGACCACCCTATCAACAAGGTCAGTACCCTTCACAAGGACCACCCTCTCAGCAAGGACCACCCTATCAACAAGGTCAATACCCTTCACAAGGACCACCCTCTCAGCAAGGACCACCCTATCAACAAGGTCAGTACCCTTCACAAGGACCACCCCCTCAGCAAGGTCAATACCCTTCACAAGGACCACCCACACAGCAAGGACCACCCTATCAACAAGGTCCGTACCCTTCACAAGGACCACCCTCTCAACAAGGAGGGTTGCCCTACCCACAAGCAGGGTACCAGCAAGGACAATCCTATCAAGGACAATACTATCAAGGACAACAGTACCAGCAAGGACAAAACTACCAAAACTATCAACAAGGACAGCCCTTCCCACGAGGACCACAACCTCAAGCACAATCCTACCAACAAGGACCTCCCTATCCCCAAAGAGCACCTGGGCAGCACCCTTCAAGACCTCCACCACCCGGTTACCAAAGCACAGTATAGATCAAAACAGGAAGTGGTATTTCTGTAGTCAGCACTTACTGAGTTCTCTCCCCTTATTGACCCAGAATAAGGCAACATCAGGACATGACTGTGGAACCAAGCTGGTTGATGGCACTGTCTGAAATATTCAGCCGACAAAGGAACTCTGCTCCAAGAGTGTTCATTGTCAAGAAGTAGCATAGGTATTTCCTTCCTGAAATAGGTCTCCATCTTTAGAAAACATTGCCAGTATATCAACCTGTGCCTCACAACATCCTTTATGACTGTCAATGAACTGCCCCAAAAAGGTTTTCAGTTATAAACAGTACCATGAAGGACTCATCATTGTTTTGCCACACACATGGAGAACAACGAGAAATATCCCAAGTGTTGCCCTGCGTAGTTCGGACCAGATCACACACAGACTACAACAAGGACTTTTGTGATCTTTCCCCCCACTGTTAAATGACAGTTGTCAGCCTGCTCAAATCATCAACATCATTTAGTGCTCAAAGATATAGACATCTGTTATCATTATTGATCACACATACCTGTGGGGATTCGAACCCGGTCTTCGGCGCATGAATTACAGGTAAACATGAATATAATAAATCCCCAAATTTGAGTGTTTACCTAGCATCATAAAGTTAACATGAGACATGTGATGTAACATCATCTAACTTCCATGAAATCAAATGTGGAACGTCCAAATCATGTAAATCTTGCAATGAATGTAAGAGAGAATTATATGCAACGAAATGCAAAGATCTTTATTTGCATGTATTAGCAGTGTAGGAAAGATAGCCCGTCCCAACGTCCGAGACGGGTGAATTTTGTGGAGGACGGGTTAAAAAAATATCTAGTCCGTCCTCATGTCGGGTCAATTTTAGCAAACCAATGACATATATATAATGATTATAACCTTTTTGAATATTTACTGCCGAAGGTGTTTTATTTATATTTGGAGGACAGGCTAGATTTTCTACATCTTTCCTACACTGGTATTAGGCATCACAATTATGTTTAAGCATGATTGATAACATGATATCATTTTGGATATCAGAAATACTAACTTAAAATCAAACAACTCTCTATTCTACATCACACTGTATTGAGCAAGAGATTTGACAAGTATCTACCAGTAGCAATATGTCATTCAAACACAAAAACTTGCATAATTGACATCTGGTGAGTTATCATTGCTCTGGTGAAGAGTTTTACTCACTCATGTCAAACAGAGTCTCTGACTATTCATAAAGTCCAGAAAGACACCACCAGATATTTGTTCTTGGAGACTGAAAATCAAAGGATGACACGATCCAGTGCTCATGGATAGGCTTCAGCACACATCTTCTCAGATCTACCATTCTGGATGGATTAGGATAAGGCTTAAATGCATCTCTACTTTACTATATTTACCTGTAAATCCACTGGGGCTGGAGGGAAGTTGCATTAATATCGAGTCACATTTTTATAAGCGACATTTTTAGTATGCAGATGAATTGCATGAGAATCATGCATCAAATTGCTGAAAAGCATGTGCAAATATCGTGCATGTGAACAGCTGCGTTTTGGTGTAAAGTTTTTGTAAGAATTCGCCAATTTTCACTGAGTTTCATCATTTATTGAACTCATGACAATATTTTTTTCAACATTACGAATTTGTTTGCAATACATCAGTTCATGTGTAAACAGTACCTTTAAACAGTATGGAATATTTTGCAAAATATAGTTTAGAACAGTTGACTGAAGTAAGTGGCTACATTTACACTAGTGAGTCTAAACTTTTGATGGGAAGTATTGATGAGCCATGTTGAGTGTTCACCTCCACTGCTGTTAATGTACTTGTCATTTTCACACTACAGATGAGCTTGTAATTATGGTACCTTTAGACAACTGTTTCATCAGCTCATACAAGCAAGCTAACCACACAAGCATTGTCTAAGAATTGTGCTCATTCAAAATTATTTTTTTTGGTTCGTATATATGTCACTGTCTCTGCCCAGGTTAAAACAGTGATAGTTCCCAGTTCCAGTTGCTGTATATTATAGAATAATCTTTGCAGATGAGAAAGCTGACCCCATGTCTGTGTTTACAACACTGTGTGTCTGTCATGTTTATGCTTGTTGGCATGTCCAATTTTTACATCTCTCTGACATTAACATGGTTCACTGATATTCATTTGTGATCAACACATTTAATTAGCTGTTACCATGGTTACTGTGTTTGGGGATATCACTGAAGAACATAAATATATACCGGTATGTCTTTTTCTCCCTCTTTAACCTAGTGTGCCTCTAAACTGTTCTTTTTCGAAACTGATGAATTTCACATTTGATGAACCTGTTCTATATGTCCTGTGCTGCAAAAGTGAGTTTTGAAAACAAAATACAAACAACACAACAATCAAAGTTAGAAACAAAAACGTCCTTATTAGTATTGTGCACTTGATGTTGGGGAGATCCTCCAGAAACTGGTATGAACACTTAATAAAGATTGCCATGGAAATGGTCTGAAACAGGGTACCTGAACAACTTTCTTCTCAATATGTTCATGTTGTTTTCAAAGAATCTATTTAGAATTCTTTATATTACAAATACCTTTTCAATTGTTTTCATATTTATTATGAATTTCAGTTGCCTCTGATATTAATATTATAAATGTAGGTGATAGGTGAGCTTCTGTACCCTTTGGTAGTCTGATTCAATGTGCATATTTCTAACCTTAATGTTTTCATGTGATTTGTAAAATACAGTAATATTCTGTTAATATATTGTTTTTACAATTTGTTATTATGCTAGAAATGTTCTCAGGAATATATATATTTCCAATGTTTATAATTACTGCTTGTCACTGGGTCTGTACATTTCAGTTGATCAGCTAACTGTAGCTGTGCTCTTTGGTCTTCCTATGATTGTTGTGACATTGTGGTTGCCATAGTTACAATCATTATTTTGTATCTGCAAATAACAATCTCCATCAGTAATATCAGACTGGCAAATGATCTTCATATGAAAATATGGAGTGGATCTTAACTTCTTTTAACAGAATCAGGCCCCGATTTCTCGAAACAAATTTAAGTTTTTACCCAAATTTGGACAATTTGAAACTGCATTTTGAAATAAAAAAGCCAAAACAACTTAAGTAATCTATCCACCGAACTCAAATTGTCTACTATGTTTGAGTTAAATGTCGATTTTAGTTCATTCTTGGAAATGCATTTTCTCAAATTTGAGTAAAAACTCTAACTTAAGTCGAAACTCAGACTTAAGTTTGTTTCGAAGAAATCCTGGTTGATTTGGTTGACACACGTCACCGTATCCAAATTACGTAGATTGATGTTCATGATGTTGATTGTCTGGTTAGACCGGATTATTTGCAGGCAGACGCCATATGGCTGGAATATTGCTGAGCACAGTTATAAACAACAAACAAAACAGGTACATAATATAAGAAAAAGAAAGATGTTGTACTTGTATGTTTTACATCTGTTGTTGTGATGGCTGTTGTATGGCCATACTGTATGTTTATATTGTTATCATGTTCACAGTTACTAACCAGTATTCATATAACCTTTTGCACTTTTTCCATGGTCAGTCATATTTTACGCACACAGACAATCTTTCAAATTTCAATAGTGGTATTCAGAAATATGATTCTATTTGGGTTTTTTCTAATCATTGATCAGATTGCTGAAAGTGTATATTGACTTTTGTATCTAATTATTATAACTACAATGTACAGTTAAATTGTTTGTTTTTGTAAATTTTGTTATGTTTAATGGTCAGTGATTGTTCCGTTCAACATGTTTCGTGCACTGTTTTTTCGTTGGTAAATTGTACCGAACATATTTGTTATTAAACTTACTTATTTATCTGCCATTGATTACGATTCATAATTCTTCATGTCTGGGGCTGTTGGGGTAGCTTAGTGGTTGGAGCGTTCGCTCATCATGCTGAAGGTGAGGTGAGGTGAAATTGGGTTTAACGTCATGCTTAAAAAAATATATTTCGCTCATATGACGATGTGTATGTGTATGTGCGGCTGCTTGTACTAGCCCAGACTTAAGCTGGTTTTATAGTGCTAGCCCACAGAGATACCATGCCGCAGTGAAGCATGAATACCCCTCTCAGACACATTATACTGACTCCGAGCCGACCAGTCCTTGTTGTACCCATTAATGCCGAGCGCCAGGCAGGGACCAACAAGTACCATATTTTAACGTCTTTTTGTATGCCGCGGTCGGGGATTGAACCCGCGACCTTCCACTCTCCGGGCGGACGCTCTAACCACTACACCACGGAGGCGGTCCGTCACGCTGAAGACCCAGTTTCGATTCCCCACATGGTAACAATGTGTGAAGCCCATTTCTGTTGTCCTCAGCCATGATATTGCTGGAATATTGCTAAAAGCGGCGTAAAGCCAAACTCACTCACTCACAACAGGAGGAACTGATGGTCTTCATGTCTATCAATGACTGTGGGTTTGAATGTTCATGGCTTTCGTAGAAGTGATAAATGTCGGAGACGTTGGAAGCTTTCCTTGTACACTAAGCTGAATTAATGCGATATTTATGACTGGAACTGTGGAATACTCACTCACTAATGTCTACCTACAGTTTGGAAAACATGTAAATTACAGAAACCGGAAAGAGTTTCAATCACTGATACAACAAAATAGAGATATGGAGCACTGTTTTTGGTGGGTTGCATCCTCTACTGTTTAAATACATGTATTGGCATATGAATATGAATAATTTATTTTGGAACTAATTTGTTTTGTAATCTGAAACATTTATTTTAATTACTTGTTACTTTGGTTTATAAGCCTCTGCCAAAGTATCTCAGTAACTCACTCAGGTGATTACTTAACTTAGGTTTGATTGCGATTGGAGAGAAGGTGATATGGCACATACACTGCTATCAATTGGTTGTCTAGGGCCATAATGTAGGAGTCATTGCAACAACTGTCGTAAGTCTGTTCAACTATGAGAGTTGGGCAATCGCAGCAATACGTTAGATATGTGAGATAGAGCCTGTAGCACCTGTCGTGATATAGCTGTACTATGCTGTCTATGGCATATGTATGCTGCTCAAAATATGATCAGGATCACCTGCTTCTTTGATATTCTGCTTCTTTGATATTCCGCTTCTTTGATATTCATATTATTACTCTGTCGCGAGCTGGATAACTATTCCAGATTTAGAGGCGACAAACAGGATCTTCGGATGGTCAGGCTCGCTGACTTGGTTGACACCTCACTATATCCCAATTGCATAGATCAATGCTCAAAATGTCCATCACTGGATTGTCTGGTCCAGACTCGATTATTTACAGACCTCCGCCATATAGCTGGAATATTGCTGAGTGTGGCATAAAACAATATACTCTTATATCATTGACCTTGTTTCCAATAAGTGTCAAGAATAGAAGTATCAGATCTTTCATCATGTACATCTAGATTCAAGTATTATAGAATAGAAATATTTCACTGTATGTAATTAAGGCACACTATTGATTAACTAGATTTTTTCTGAGATCTGTAATAATCCTAAATACAGCAATAGGTTACAAGTACATTAGTTTCAGAAAACATGTGATAATAAAGTATCTGTTATAATGTGTGTACTGTCTTTATCAAACAAATCACACTGTCTCCCTGCTTGACTCCAACTCAGTGCATGAAGCAGCCATTTATATCTTTACCAGTACTCAAAGTACTTTACATATCACTTTCAGAATATGGACAAATGACACAGTATTTGAAACTGAATTTTCTATGCATGCTACAATATACTAGCCTTATGTTTTCAATATATTTTGTTTACAAAACTTAATATTTTATCAACAACTGACTGTAGGGTTTGATAAAAGGAAATGATTAAACCAACTGGCAAAAGAGGAAGTCTAGAATGATTAGAAACTAAACATTTTTTCATAGCACAGGTAAGGTTTAATACGTCTGACATCGTTGTAGGACAGATAAAAGTCATTGGTGCAGATTGACATGTTTCGTTTCATATATTACATAATTTATACATGTACATGGTGGCTGGTGAGAGGTACAGAAGCTCACCTTTATGTAGTGTTATTAGGTTAAATTGCCTTAAAATCATACTACATCTAGGAGTCTGTGATGAGTCTACGACACATATTGTCAGGCTTGATTCTAGTTAAATTTTCTATAAAAATGCATATGAAACATGTCGAAAAAGCATAACACACAGATCTGTTGTAACATTTTAGACTCCCATTTTGCAGAAATGTGTCAATGCAAAGCAAGAAAATACATTGGTCCATGTATTCGTTTGCTATATTACATAACATGTCATGGTCAACACCGTCATCGTAGAAACAGATACAGGATTACTCAGCACAGTTTTGAGCTGAAGGTCAAGGCCAAGCGAAAATGGCACCATTTATCTGTATTACAAATACAAATGATGTACCGGAATCTATTATATTCACTGATAAGAAATCTAGCATATTTCATATTTCATATCTAGCATGGTTCACTGTCACACATGTATCAGTTCTCTCACTGTCACAGGCATGGGAATCACTGGATTTTCTGGTCCAAACTTGATTATCAAAAGATAGTCAGCATACAGCTGCAATGTTGCTGAATATGTTGTTAAAAACAAACAGTAAAGCAAGTCTGTTCACTGAATTCCTCATAGTTTCTTTTTGTGTGACAAGTACTTGGATCATTCTGGTCAAGACAAGTCATTGATGAAAGGCATTGATGTCGCCAACAACAGCCCAGTTCATCTTGTGCTTGACAGGAACCTCAGTAGCAGGCGTTGTGAGGAGGATCTAGGCTAGAGAGTCACTGATCAGAAAGCCTTCACATAGCCAACAACTGCCCAGTTCATCTTGCATAGCCAACAACTGCCCAGCTCATTTTGTGCCTCTGCTTGACAGGAACCTTGGTTGTGAGGAGGATCTAGGCTAGAGAGTCACTGATCAGAAAGCCTTCACATAGCCAACAACTGCCCAGTTCATCTTGTGCCTCTGCTTGACTGGAACCTTGGTCGCAGAACTCGGGGTGAGGGCCTCTGTCAAGCTGGTGGAATCCCACATGTGACTGCCAGTCCAGCAACTATTATGGAAGATCATTCATAATTTTTATGCATTATTCAGAAAGAAGGTGAAAATCTTTTCTGCTTGTCTTCTTATTCTTCACAGATATTGTTGGACCTATCACCTTACAGACATGAAAAAGTGTAACAGTTTATTTACCTGGGAATGCAATTAAGTTCTAGGTGATTCATAGTCCTTTATCAAAACAAATAGATGTATGTCATCACTTACAAAAATTTATCTACATTTGTTTATCTTGTATGTTACAGTTCTGTGGCTCTGTGTTACCAGTGTATGAAATAAGGCCCGTCCGACCACCCGACACAGGCTAAATTTCTTTCGGATGGTCTAATTTTACAGCTAGCCAGCCCGATGGATGGGTGAAAAAAAATATTCAGATAACGTGTCCAATGGCACTGTCTATTTAGTATATAAGAAGGACTGGTTAAATCTCTTCTGGGCTGGTAAGTTTTTGAAGTTACCAGCCCAAATGTCTGGCTGGGTTTTTGGCTTATTTCATACACTGGTGTTACTTGAACTTCTCTGTGCAGAGCCATATAAGATGGGACATATTATCCTTGAACATTTACACTTTTTGTGGAATAAGGATTAAAACCATTATTAAGATGTGTCAGTATTTTGATATGATGTCTAAACATGCTCATAGTGTTTGTATCAGTCAAGGCACAAGCACACGTAGATGCACACACACTCTCTCTCTCCACTGCCAAACTACAAGTATTTACAATAGCTGTTCAGTAACACCTAAGAAATCTTACCCAGTGTACAAATGGTCGTCTGCAATGTCTCCATACTCCGACTGCTTGTGGCAACAGTTCCAGATAAGCTCACCGTTTGATTCATCTATGTTTGGAACAAAAGAGAAATGTAATTATTTAGGTGCTGCTCAGAATTGCAAAATATATTCCAAGGGAATCTAAGCAAATAAACAAACTAAAGAAACACCCAAACACACATCAGAAGACACCCCCATTAAAGCCAGAGTCCATTGTTTATTTGTTGTTTAAAGCCACACTCAGCAATATTCCAGCTATATGGCGGCTGTCTGTAAATAATCAAGTCCGGACCAGACAATCCAGCAATCAACAGCATGAACATCGATCTACTTAAATGGGACACAATGTCATGTGTCAACCAAGTCAGCGAGCCTGACCACCCAATCCCGTTAGTTGCCTCTTACGACAAGCATGGGTTGCTGAAGATCAATTCTGACCCGGATCATCACCGGAACCCAAGGCCTGGAACTCAAGAATCAAGATCTTCACTGACAAGCCAGATTAGAATGTTTCACACGGGAAGCAGTGCATATTTCAAGAGATTGACATATTGGTATCAGAAACAAAAGCATCTTCAATGAATGAATCTGGGGTCTTCATGGGTTAGTTCATGGTATGATTCTGTCTACATTGTAAGCATGAGTTTATGAAACACTATCAAATAGGGACACCAGGTATTAGTACAAAGGTTAGCCTTCCCTAGGCTGGCTCACATTCCCTGAACCACATTATTTTCCCCACTGCCTCGCCCTCCCTGCAATGCTAAAGCTCTAAATGAAGTAAGTCTAGATTTCCCCAGGTTCTGAATGTCTGGTCTCCTTGGGGCTCCTTTTCAATTTAAATGGGTTTGTTTGTTACTATCAAAATCATATATATTCAGAGACTAAGCGTTAGTCTAGGCCTTCCCCAACCATGTCCACTATCTGAAGGATACCAAGGTACCAAGAAATGATTTGACAAAAACACTGGAGATATGTAAGTCAGATTGTGTTTAACATTCTAATGTTAAATATTGCAGTTATTCAAATATTGCAGTTATATCTTTCTTTGTTGTTTGACGCAGAACTCAATAACATTCCATCTCCTGAAGGCAGTCTTTAAATAATCAAGTCTGGGCCAGACAGTCTCCAGACATTATGAGCATAGACAAACTCATCCTGGATAAGATTATATGGATCAACCAAGTCAGCAATTACCCGATCTCTTTAGTCGTCTTTTACGATAAACATGGTTTGCTGTAGTTCATATGAATAAACTCGTATTCCAGCCAAGGCCTACATCGAGCACACCTTGGTATAGTGCAAAGTCGTCTAGTTATATGCTGGACTAGGTTTGCTGAAGACCAGTTCTAAGTTGGATGTTCAGCTACAGCTTGTTCAGCTTGACCTGATCAAGTGAATACTAATGAATTGCATGACCGTGTCACAACTGGTTGGGTCTATTATTGTGAAGGGGTGCATCTTTGTCAGTTGATTGTCAACATGTCCGAACAGCCGAGACAAGATCGCCGTTTCACATCTCAGTGTCGAGAAATCGTCAGCAATATCCTAACTTTCTTTAAAAATGAAGATACAAACATATTGCAGTTGAACATGAAATAGAAAAAGTGATAATTGAACTGGGTGTAGAGAGTGATAGCGCGCGAGTGGAACGGATTGTGAAAGTAACTGGCGTCTGTACGTTGTAAAGTTAGTAAACCAAACAAGATAAGCATATGACTGTATAAACAATTCAATTAAAACATGAAATGATTGGGTTTTTTCAGAAGTGTGTGTTTCCGGGACAAACTCTGTAACGAAGCCATGTATGCATGTTTTGCACCAACGCAACATTAATAATATTCTTTGCTCCCCTATTTAATGAAGTTAACTCGACCTGCCGTTTGTGGCATTTGACCTCCCGGGTCATGCATATGTAGAGTAGCTCAGGTCAAGCTGAACGAGCTGTAGTTTTGGTTACTTTCATGCTACCAAAAGGTGTAAGTAAAGTACATGATGATTTGAAGCCATGAGTATGGGTTGATATGCCAAAGATTACGACCAGGGAGAACTATAACGAGCAATTATAGGATCATGACACATATAAGGGACATAACTCTGACGTCTTGGCCAGATATCGATGTACTCTGTGTTGACTTTATCAAACATAGGCCAGTCTAAGTAAACTTAGCCTCAGTTTTATTCGTTACACTGCTATACTGAGTCTAACAAACCCTAGTAGAAGGTCTCGTCAGTTAACCTTTGAGCGACCTGTAACCATCCAATTAAACGCGAGACAGACAAACGGATTTAACCAATCAGACAATGGCTATATTTAGATTTCCACAGGACAAAATGGCGATGCAAGATGATATTGACACTGATCTCTCAACAAACGAAAATCCACATAAAACAAAGATATTTGACCAGCAGTATATACATTTCAGGGTTTCTGATGACATGGTTACTATTAGCTTATATTTCCGCAAGATGACATCCTGGAATATTGACAAAGACATTATTTTCAGTGACTGTTTACTCACTGTTGTTGTGAATAATGGTTTCCTCCATGTGTATTACTTGGAAGCGATTGTGGTTAAAATAGCATTAGGAATCGTTCGAGTACAAACGTTTTCGAGGTAAAGGATCAAATAGTATGTGCAAATGTTAACTTTACGATTTGGTAAGCTGTGTTCTGATTCATCAATTCAAAAGGTTAGCAGATGCCACCTTCTACTAGAGTTTGTTAGGCTCTGTATAGCAGTGTAACGAATAATACTGAGCCTAAGTTTACTTAGACTGAGCTGTATGCTAACACTGACCTCTCTGTCCCGGGTGGAAGTTGCAGGGTGTATCCTTGACCAGAACCTCAGAGTAGGGTTGATGACACCTGCTACATAGCATCGTGTCCAGCACCGACGGGAGTGACTTGACACGCTGACGGCACTGCCACGTCCTACAAACAAATAATAATGTATACATTTACGCCATCTCGGCATATATCCAACATATGAGTTGATTGTTGAACGTGAAAGTGATGCTTTAAGATTTTCAATGCCATTTTTTTCAGGAATATTTATGTATTTTGCCATCAGGTTCCAGGTGATGACCATGTCATTGTGGGCATATGTCATAAGTTGTTGCTCATGATGTCAATCACTGGAATATCATAGATGCTGTCAGATAGCAGAATATCTGCATTAAACAGCTATGGTAACATATACTCTTGAAAAAAAGTTGGTGAACTTAATTTTTTATTTATGATTGAAAAAATTCCGAGAGATATCGGAGTCAATCAATGTTGATATGATAATAAGGAATGTTTTGAGAGCGCATCACCACTTGCACTTCCTTATGACCATAGTTGGTTGCACAGTAATCGCTCCTGAAAGATGATTAGTGTATGACGTGAAATTTGCATGTGTACAATTTTCATTTTCAACAGAAAGAAAAGGCTAGAAACAAACACTAACAACTGTGTGAGCAAGATGATTGTCAGAATTAATGGTCTACAGTGATTTATAGACCTTCTTGAAAACCGTCAAAATCAAGAATGACACCCCATACACGTGTATGGGGCTATGGCGTTGAGCACATGCTTCCCATGTGTTGTGTTTAGGGGTGGTGATAAAGAGAAATGGTGGTGCGTTCATAAGATGTCTGTCTTTGAAAAGTTTGTTAACGCTTATACATCCTATCCAAATTTGAAAGTTCAGGTTCCCCTACTTTTTTTAAGAGTATATGTGAAGACACATTGCACAATCATGGGACACATTACCTGTTGCGGTGTCTTTTCCGACCAAGGACTTTCTCAGTAAAGTGATCTGTCAGCTGATCTGAAACAAGAGTAACAAATTACAGGACAAAATACAATCTGGAAAAAAATATCACAAAATATTTCATGTATTTTCCTGTCCTGTGAAAAGATAACAGGTTTTGAATGAAATTCTCAATACTTCCATCAGATAAAAAAAAAATATTCATCAGAATGCTTCTTGCATTGAATGCTTCTGATCATAAAGGTTACACAATGCAATTACAGCAAACAACCAGTCCACAAAACCAGAAAAGTTGATTGTAAAGTAACATGTTCCATTTTCATTGGTGAATAATGCAATATCTCTATGTGCAGTAGAAGTATAATTTGATTCCATCATCCATGTGAGTGGTGAAAAAGGATTTTTTACTGACAAAAATAAGACCATTTCCTACCAAAAAATAACAAAATGATGTACACTCATAAAAGCAATACTTACAACTGAGAACAATATCTCGCACAATCTCTGTCTCTCCGTTAACATGCGAATATCTCTGAAAATATACAAATACAGACTATTATACTATATAAAGTCATCTCTACCATAAATATTTATGATGATGATCATCATTTGGACATTTAACGTGCGTTTTCTGACAAAATGTGTATTTCGCACACATTAATTAATATCAATTAATATTTAAACTGAGGAACTGGTATGTAGACACAACATTGATGTCAATGTTAAAGATACACACTTGGCACATGACACATAAGGTATGGATGAGTGAGTGAGTGAGTATGGTTTTACACCGCTCCGACATTTATCACTTCTACGAAAGCCATGAACATTCAAACCCACAGTCATTGATAGACATGAAGACCATCAGTTCCTCCTGTTGTGAGTGAGTGAGTTTGGCTTTACGCTCTTAGCAATATTCCAGCAATATCATGGCTGAGGACACCAGAAATGGGCTTCACACATTGTAACCATGTGGGGAATCGAAACTGGGTCTTCAGCGTGACGGACCGCCTCCCTGGTGTAGTGGTTAGAGCGTCCGCCCCGGAGAGTGGAAGGTCGCGGGTTCAATCCCCGACCGCAATATCATGGCTGAGGACACCAGAAAATGAGCTTCACACGTTGTACCCATGTGGGGAATCGAACCTGGATCTTTGGCGTGACGAGAGAACGCTTTAACCACTAGGCTATCCCACCATCCCCATAAGGTATGGAATCACAAGGTAACAAAATAAACAAAACAAACAAACATGCAAATATACCTTCATATTCAGTGTGTTCTGTACAAGTCGCCTGTCGTTGAGAATCTCCAGCAGGTAACGTCTGATGTCACTGATTGTCTGACTTGACCGACACCACACCAACAACTTCGTCTGCTTGACCTCACTCTGCATGTTGCTGTTTGTGGCGTCCCAGTCAACCTCTACGACACATTTAAATTTCTGACATATTTTCTCAAAGCGCGCGCCAACAACCTTCTGAAGCGGCTCAATGTAATTTCTGTGTAGTGGAATACTGACTCCCTCTTTAATGGGCATTTTGCGTTTACGCTTCTTAACCATCAGACCTATTTGTCTCTTCGTCAGTTTAACAGCATTGTCACTGTTGTCGCTTCCACAGCTTGGTTCGGCATCTTTGGTCACAGTGCTCCGTCTAGAGGTCTCCTTTTCTGCCTCCAGGAGTGTAAAGTCCCCATTTAAGGCGCGGTCAATGATATACAGAAGATGCTTTTCACTTGATGTTGGAGAAGAGTCTGTATGGAGAATGTTACAAGCAACTGCCAAAGCAGATGAAGAGGTTGTGTTGATCCATTGGTTGAAATGTCCCTTTAAGGTCTGTTTTAGTTCTGAAAACTCTTCATTTGATATGTTGATTGTTGTTGTGCCTGAAAAATAAGTTTTACATTATTTGTATTATTGATGTTTGAGTGTGTGTGCATAAATGTGACAATATTCCAGCTGTATATCAATAATCGAGTCTGAATCAGACAATTCAGTGATTGACATCATGAGCATCGATCTACGCAATTGGGATGACATGGGTTCACTAAGTCAACGAGCCTGACCACCCAATCCCTTAAGTATGAAATCGGTGAATCAGCATTATACCATCGGTTGTTCTTCAGATGAAAGATATTATGTGTATACTAGTAACCATTCTTGTGGTCTTAATGTAAGCAGGGATACTCTACACAACCTTATATAGTCTCCCTGATGTAAGTAATCACACTTAAGATTAAAAGCAGTGGAGTAGACTAGAGGTTAAAGCATTCGCCACTATGAAGACCTGGTTTTGATTTCCACATGCATATAAAAAATATTGTGTAAAGGTCTTTTCTGGTGCATCATCGCCATGATATTACTGGAATATTGAAAATGGCGTCGTAAAGTTGATAAAATTGTTACAATCATGAAAGAAATTCTTACGTGTCTTCCTGCACGAACAGACTGCCATCGCAAGGCGTTGAGACAGGTGACGAGGTAAAACCTTCAATAGTTGTAACTGTCGCCGTAAGCATTCAAACCCGGTCTTGTCCGTATGGAAGATGCAAGGCTCCATTTTCTTCGTATTACTCCGTGCAGTTTCTAAATTCTAGGTAAAATGTCGTTATCCAACATTACTGTATAGTTTGACGTTATGCATTTACCTTGTGCAAAATGTGACTTCTCATCGTGAGCTTAGCGGCTGTGTGTCGTGTACTGTAGTTCTGGAGCCTTTATACGGGTAATTTATTGCATTGCAAGCGTAAACCATTGCAGAAGACGCTTTTCGAAAACGCCAGAACATGTTCATGTTATTATCCTGAAGACGATAGCTTACAGATAGCCAATTGTGTTATTACTGACTTTAAATAATTCAGTTCTTCAATAACAAAAATAATAAAAACAATGTTTGATGATAAACCAGATAATAAAATGTAATATGAGCATGATATGATACACAAATTTTCCCCAAATGCAGATGCAGTATTCGAACATTGTAGTTAGTTGTATGGATAGTAGTTGGACCACGTGTCAATGTTTATAAACACAGGGATAACGAATACGCGGTTAACCGCCCTTAGAGTAATGTAAAATTATTTAAACTTAATTAAAAAGTTTTGACGTACATCACGTTCAGTTGTGATCTGTACTTTAAGTATCTTTGATTGTCATGCAATCGAACAGCTAACAATCGCGAACTGTTATGAACGCTTCAATTTTTCACATGGCGCCATTTCTAGAAGCAGACATAAAATAATCAACACTGGCGCCATCCTCGTGGTTCACAATAAAGTGGGCACAATAAAGAATGTACTGTATAACGTATTTTGTTTTCCTTAATGCCCGGAGCGTCGAACGCCATAGCTAATTACCTCCATACGTAATACCCGAAACATCGCATTTATAAAGTTTCAATTTTCGACAGTCCGGCTGTACAGCGTTCCCAAGGATTGGGTGGTAACCACTCTTGTATTCGGTGAATTGAACCGTATCACTTAATGAATTCAGTTCGTTATTCGTGATCACTGGAGTTGAATATTCATTATTTTCGTTTATCCTAATCATCAAAAAGGTGATGAGCAAAATGGAATACATGTATATACAAACCAGGCAGTATAGTGAGTGAGTGGGTGAGTGAGTTCAGTTTTACGCCGCACTCAGCAATATTCCAGCTGTATGGCGGCGGTCTGTAAATAATCGAGTCTGGATCAACATGATGAGCATCGATCAACCAAGCCAGCGAGCCTGACCACCCGATCCTGTTAGTCGCGCCAGACAGTATAACTGTTCATTTTCACTATCGTCATGGTCAACACATGTCAAACTTTTCCTTTTGTCATTGTATAAATGAATATATTAAAAAACACATCAACTGCTGATTTGTCACAATGTCCATAGCTAATCTTCGTATTCGTCAACCAATACTCGTGATATGGATATTTATGACTTCACAAACCCGTGTCATCTTACGACAGCAATACAATAGCGCAATACGGTGACATGTTGGGAGCAGCCTTCCAAATAGCTACTGGCCTGCTAGCCGATTGTGAATCAGGCCAGTTATACTTATAGTCCGTTTGGCTCAAAAGCGGACCGATGAGTTGCAATCTAACTCGAAAACTAATAAACATATAATACTCAATGAAACGCTGATCATAATCAAAACATCAGACCAACTCTGTGATTTGTGTGCAGAATTTATGTCCTAAAATGAAATAAGTTGTTTAACAAAATATCATTAAAACATTGACACAGTTCACTATTTGTTACGAGGGAGGAGTGCAGAGAAAGGGACAGCCAGGTGTTAGAGAAGCACGTGCACAAGTGCCGACAAAGTTAATGATTCATTAACCTGTGCTGTGCTGTCTCCATCCTTTCTCGCACACCTGGCTGTCTCTTTCTCTGCACTCCTCCCTCGTGCAAAATAGTGAACTGTGTCAATATTTTAGTGATAGTTTGTTAAACAACTTTTTTAATTTTAGGACATAAATTCTGCACACAAATCACAGAGTTGGTCTGATGTTTTGATTATGATCAGCGTTTCATTGAGTATTACATGTTTATAAGTTTTCAGTTAGATTGCAACTCATCGGTCCGCTTTTGAGCCAAACGTACTATATATATTGTTAAAGCTATCCTGACTGGCTACTAGCTGAAAATCTCAGATAATTTGTTCTAATGACGGCATTTGTTTTCATGCTTATCTTTTGCACTAGGAGTGAGCTGCATATAAGAGCAATGTTTTCTTCAACCTGTTTTTTAAGGACTAGAGAAACAAATCTTATTGCTTGTGTTTGCTTCATTAATAATTGTTTCCAAGGGGCGACAATAACTTACATCTCCAGTTACTAAACATCACACCAATTCTGACCGATGTGCATTTTGATACTGATGTTTTGTAGGGCCAGTGAAGTATGATGTGGGTTTGTATTATTTTTACTTATCAAGCCCCCCTGGCCAGTGACTTTTCAAAATTAATTCATACACTGGTTGGGAGAGAGAAACAAATCGTTCTTCGGACACGTTAGTTCTCTCCTACCATGACATCTTCTCGTTCAATAGGGCAGTGGGGTAGCCTAGTGGTTAAAGCGTTCGCTCGTCACGCCGAAGACCCGAGTTCGATTCCCCACATGGGTACAATGTGTGAAGCCCATTTTCGTGTCCCCTGCCGTGATATTGCTGGAATATTGCTTACAGCGACGTAAAACTGAACTCACTCACTCCAGTTTATTATGTACTGTTTGAATTGATATCCGCGAAGATCAGGGTTAGAATTGGTCTTCAGCAACCCATGCCTGTCGTAGGAGGGGACTGTATTAGCATGAAAAAAACCCAGGCTTATTAAAATCTGCCGATGCGTATCCATAGCTGGGTGGCCTAAGCTGTGATGTTATATGAAGCACTGTTCAGCCCAGTATGGCCTGAACTTTAATTTAAGTGAAACAATGTTCAACCAGTTAAGTGAGTCAGCTGTAAGCTGGCTGGAAATTTGTTTTATGTTACGCCTGTTACATTTGGTCGAACTTCTTCCTGGTGTGGGTGGGTGGGGTGTTACGCCACTTTTAGCAATATTCCAGCCATATCACGGCGGGGGACACCAGAAATGGGCTTCACACTTTGTACCCTAGACAGACTAATTGTACCTATGTGGGGAATCGAACCAGGGTCTTTGGCGTGACGAGCAAACACTTTAACCACTTTACTACCTCACTGACCCTCAATGCAACTTGCACGACCTAAACTGTGACTTAAATGAAACTGTTCAACCAAGTAAGATATATATATATATATGTGTGTCACTTAGTGTGATTCAGAGTGAGTGAGTTAAAATTTATAGTCACATCGGCAATATTTCAGCCATGTGGCTACTGTGATATAGATAAAACGATGTTCAACCAAGTAAAACATATCTGACCTAAGCTGGGATTTAGCTGGAAAGCCAACTCACTCGTTTATAAGAAAAATATTTTCTCAGGTATGCGAACTATGACACCACTTGGGAAGGATCCATTTCATCAAAAGGATGAAATATCGCGATGCCCATGGCGAAAAATGTTCATGTATGTTTCCCCGCTAAGCAACCGTGAAAGCCCATACATTATTTTGCACTTTGTCAGCGTTTTCGAGAAATAAAACGGATGAATTTTAATGCAAAAACAGAAAAATGCAGTTGACGTCATTCCATGTCCAGTTTCTTAACTTTTGTCTCTGACACTAATGCACTTTTACCTTAATTCTAAGTATTGAAAACAGAGCGAACAAATAAATACACTAAGCATTTACATAGAACAACTTAAGTAGGATTTGTTTGCACTTTGTTTTGATTGAATCTCAAGATATAAAACCCCATGAGACAGTATATAGGTTTATAGCTTTTCGTAAGACCTTGAATATCGGCTAGGTTTCAATGGTCTCAAAATCTAACACAAATCCTCAAACACGTCATAAAATACAGCGTTATCACAAACAGGATCGGGTTGTCAAGTATCGCTGACTCGGTTGATGGATGTCGTCCAGTGTCTACTGTTTAGATCGATGCTCATGCTGTTAATCACTGGGTTGTCTGGTCTTGAGACTTTACAGACCGCCGTCATACAGATGGAGACTGCGTGGTTCAACAAACAAGCAATATATATATATTTATAGAAGTGAGTGATCCAAAGCCATATATATATAATATATATATGTATATATATATATTATATATATATACATATATATATATATAGTCGATATTATATTATGGCTTGGATCACTGACGACGTTAGACCGCCTCCGTGGTGTAGTGGTTAGAGCGTCCGCCCGGAGAGCGGAAGGTCGCGGGTTCGATCCCCGACCGCGTCATACCAAAAGACGTTAAAATATGGTACTTGTTGGTCCCTGCCTGGCGCTCGGCATTACTGGGTACAACAAGGACTGGTCAGCTCGGAGTCAGTATAATGTGTCTGAGTGGGGTATTCATGCTTAACTGCGGCATGGTATCTCAGTGGGCTAGCACTATAAAGCCAGCTTCAGTCTGGGCTAGTACAAGCAGCCGTACATACACATACACACGCATGCACGTCGTCATATGAGCGAAATATTCTCAAGCACGACGTTAAACCCAATTCCACCACCACTGACGACGTTAAACCCAATTTCACCTCACCTCACCCGCCGCTTGTTCTTTTATAGTGCCTGAAGAAAGAATGGATCACTGCCTGTTGCATAATGGCAGCTCCTGTCCAGTGTAGCTACCACTATCTGTCATGATGACCCGCTTCGACATGGAATGTTCTGGATGTCCACGGTGAAAGAGGAGTACTCCCCCCAGGTTCCCTCACTCACTCAATCACTGACCACTCGCCTGCCTTACCCCTAAAATCACTCACAGGTGGACCCATCCGATTGAATCTGCCCGGTACTACACCGGACCACTCCCCCCTGATTCAGTCGCCCGGCTAGGACACTAGAGTGAGTGAGTGAGTTTAGTTTTACGCTGCTCTCAGCAATAGTCCAGCTATATGGCGGCGGTCTGTAAATAATCGACTCTGGACCAGACAATCCAGTGATCAACAGCGTGAGCATTGATCTGCGCAATTGGGAACCGATGACATGTGTCAACCAAGTCAGCGAACCTGACCACCCGATCCCGTTAGTCGCCTCTTACGACAAGCATGGGTTACTGAAGATCAATATTGTAACCCGGATCTTCACGGGTAAGGACACTAGACCACTACAAGTGAGTGAGTTTTGGGTTGTTGTTTCATGATGCACACAGTGATACTCCAGTATATATGACAGCTCAGTGAATGAGTGAGTGAGGCATTATGCCTTAGCAGATGCTGAAACATTAGAAGTTACACACATTCAGTTGTGCATACGGAGTAAGTGCGAGTTTAGTTTTAGGCCGCTTTTAGCAATATTCCAGCAATATCAAGGCGGGGGACACCATAAATGGACTTCACACATTGTACCCATGTGGGCAATCGAACCCTGGTCTTCCACGTGACAAGCGGGCGCTTTAACCACTCGAGACCCCACCGCCCTAGTAGATAGATTCTTGGTGGAATTACCATGATATATACCCAGTGTGAGTTTATATCAATCAATCTAAATTCTATAGTTAATTTGTGAGTTGATATCAATCAAATAATCATAATTGTGTTATTTGTCATTTAACTAGTGAGTTCATATCAGCAACTATGTTCATAGTTAGAACTAGTGAGTTCATATCACTAATTAGTGAACTCCGAGTTCACTCACCAGTTCAAGTTTTAGTGTCACCCATCTCATTAATCCTTTAAAACAACATGTATCTACCTCGGCCGAACATCAAAGGATTTTTACTGTAATAACAAATGTCTACTTCCAGGTACGACACCCTAGTAATTGAGTGAGAGAGATTGAATGAGCGAGTTTGAACAGTACTCAAGTTACATATGGTTTGTCAACTTGATGTGAGCTGAAAGCCTGACATTATGAAGGTCCAATATGTTTAGCACTTGGATAAAACCATCGTTGTGCTGCGCCTTGCAGGCTTCATGAGTTGAATACTCCCCAGGGAGTTGAGTTGGTTAAAAGAATGCCAGAAAAAAAAGACGTGTTGATCAAGGGAACACTCCAGCTCCTTGAGCATGTACTTGTTGCGTGGATATGTGCGTTATATAAATATTCTATAATAATAATAATAATAATAAAATAATAATAATATCCAGAGTTTTGACCGCCTGACCAGAAGGGTCATGTCTGATAACAGAGCTCACCACCCTTGTGCCTTTCCCTATTTGTTTATATATGCCAATCAATTCTGGAGGTCGGAGTTTGATTAATGCGGAGGCTCTTCATGATAGAATTATATTGTGTACTTTTGCACATATTTATTTATCGGATGACCCTCTGGTGATGCATGTCAAGACATGATGAAAACAAGGAATTCCATAGCTATTTAAGCCTGCCAAGGTTGCTGGACAGAATCTGAAATTTGAGGCTGATTTTGTTGACGGCAATGTACTGCTGAATGTAAACCAGGTGAAGTCCTTCACCAAGTCTGCCGACTTTGCAGTGTATTTACAGAGACTGACCTGCACTTCAGTGGATGCCCTTCCTTGGCACAAACAGCATACCTTAAACGACATCATGGCTCGTTGCTTCTCTACAATCTTCCCCATGCCTGTGGTTTTGACTCCCAGGTTATGGTACCGTGGTACCATCCATGGTACCGACCCAGAACATGTCCAGGGTGTCATGGAAAATGATGCTTTTAAATTTCTTTGGAATAGGCCCATTTACAGCTTCAGAAGAATTCCTGCCAACAAACCCGATTTTGTCCTTTTTGATAAAGCCATATATTTGATGAATTTATTTATGTTATTGAATTTTCTGTCCCTTTTGTCAGCAATGTGATTGGCAAGATTCAGGAAAAGCATGCTAAATATTTGGACCAGGCTTTGAAATGTCTTGCTTGCATTTCAAGTACACTGTCGTGCAGCTCGGATCCTCACATGACAAAGGGACACAACTCCACATAACCAAATGTGGTGCTTGAACGACTGGGCCACCTGTACCCTCTGTACAGCTAAGGAACACAAAGTTTACTGGACAAATCATTAAGTTGTAGGACAAAAACAACAACAACAACAGCAGTTTAATCATCACATATGTTTAATAAAAATGATGAAATGTAAGATACTTGAACAGCAAGCATGAAAGAAACAAAGATAATCATGAACATACAGAGATTCCAAAAAGACACCTGTAACAGACAGTAGAAAAATAAATAATACAATTTCACAGCATCCACAGAAACTGCACACTAGATAGTTTAGCACTACCATATACACCTACATTTACAGCTGATGGTTGCTCTACACCACGCTTCAAATACACTAAAATACTCCATAACTCTAGGACTATCATTAGTACAAAATATGAAAGACTTTCACTAATCATGTGGCAAGAAGCTATCAGTTTCCATGGTCGACCCAGCACCTCCAGGTTTTTGAACATTTGGAAGACATTCTTATTCGTATCTTTCTTTCTGTAAGCTTTTACCAAGATGATTTACTGATCTTCTTTACAAACATGTATTTAAGATGTAAATCTTGCAAAGACTTCTGTTTAGATAGTCTTTTCGTATCTTTCTTTCTAAAAGCTTCTACCAAGATTATATACTGATCTTCTTTACAAACATGTATCTAAGATTGTAAGTTTTGCAACTGTTCTGCTAATAAAGACTTCTATACAAAATGTGTTACTGTTTAGACAGTCTTTCTTTGTAAACTTAAACAAAAACTATTCAACGTCCAGATGAGGAAGGGCACCTGTAGCATACACTTGGTTACAAAATAGTATTCATATTTCATACAGTTTTTATTGCATTCTTGTCATCATGTTTTGAGTACAATTATTAAGGGCAAACCTTGAACACATTGGTACTGTTTAAAAACCAAAGAATGGAATAAAATTCTTGCAAGTTCTTAAAATTCTTCTACGACCTACAGCATTCATGTGCATTTTCACAAATCACCATATCTAAATAAATAGTGAATTTGCATTGTTACATTGTATCCTCTAGGTATTGACAAGCTGGTGTTTTGCTAGACTAGTTCGACTAGGAGGATAAAAGGTTCATGTTACGAGACTAAAGATATATTTGTTGAAACACTAGGGACATGCTCCACTAAATAATCTACCTAAACGACTAACACAGTCCTAAGTTAAACAGGGAGCTACGGAGTTTCGATC